TACACGTAAGCCATTTAATTTGTATATTACACAAATGTTTTCGTGAACTGACAGTTTTTAGGTTAGAAAGGTGCAAAAGTGCAGAATCACTCCAGCATCCCCTTAACTTCTAGCCGTTTTACTAATTAACTTACGTTTGTCGTTGATTTGCTGCAGCACTTGAAAAGGACCCCCCAAAAAAATAGGATCGAAACGTTGTGTAGTAAACTAATAAAATAACTAGCCAGTTGGGTTGACTATAAGTTTCCCGTCTCAAAAAATACATAACATAAAACTATGTGTCCATCGGTTTGTATGCATGTTGGTTTTTTTATGTTCTCGCATGCAATTTTTGTACAATTCATATGTGAATTGTACGTGTGTTAATCGGTATTTTCTGACTTACGTATCCAGCGAAAAATATTTTATTTAAAGATGTAAATATGTATAATTATGTTTAAACAATGTATTTTATACATATATGCAATTCTTTCTTTCCTTTCTCTTGTATAATCTTTGTCCCCACGTATAAAATAATAATTTTTACAAGACTTGTGTTATTCTTTACAAAAAATTAAATAGGACATTTATTCATATACTTTATAGCTTGAAAATTATTATTTTAGTGAAAACTTAAATTATTGTTTTGTCAATTAATCGAAAAATATCGTATAATTTGAACGCACTTCTTAATTTTTTGCATATTTTGTCAGAATAAGATTAGAAATAGAATTTATAATTGTGACTATATATAATAATTATAAAACATTCATTCGAGACTCGCGCGCTCGTAGACGCGTTATTCATTTTGATCCACAGAATAAGAACTGTGTGTTTAACTTTTTCCTTTCGAGCCTCGACATTAAATTAAATTAGGCGGGAAAACAATGAAATAAATAATAATTAAGTAAATTTTTAATCGTTTTAAATACACCCTTCTGAAATTTGAATAATTAAACAATTTCTTTCAGTTATCAAAATATGTAAAGAGATAATTAGTAAAATAAATATATGTGAACAATAAATTGATACAATAAAAATTCCCCAGTGTATACTTTGCGTGTTTTCTTTAATAGCTTGCTTTAAATTGTTTATTGAATGTCATATATTTTTAAGTTTACCCAATAACCATTGTCGCGGAATAACTTCAACAAAGCACGAGGTTATTCAGTTTCTACTTGTCTAAATAACGTTTAGATACTGAAAAGCGTGATTTTAAAGAATTTCTATAATAGTGACGGTCGACGGTTTGAGAGCTATAAGATAGGATAAGGAGAAAGAAGAAAAAGATCTGGAAAGCAACTAATACACAGATGAATTCTATTCTTATCTCATGTAGGTACCAATAACCGTTGTAGAGTCTATAAAGGAACAAAAGGAAAGACAGCCCTGAGCAAGGTCGTAAAGTTTGCAAAAGAACAGGAAATGAAAAGGAATGTATGAAAAAGTCGGTACCTGAGCAAGATTTATTTCATTTAGGTTCCGGTTTTTATTCCGTTCTTTCGTTACGAACACTGTTTTCATTTATACAAGAGCCAAAGTAGTTTTCAGGAATATTTCCTTACGAGGCCATACACACGATAGGGGGTCGTACACAGGTCAAAAAATGTATTAATTCCTTGCACTCGGAAGTTGAGTAATACGCGACATCGTATTCCATTCCCACTACTCGATCATCGTGTTACGTTCGACACGGATATTTCTGAGAATTTATTGTATTTCTTCATATTATCGAAGCTTTAAACTTGGCAATGCATTCTAATAAAAAGCAGTGTTTTCCCCCCCTCCAGAAACAAAGGGCTATTTAATTATTGAGTTGGAGCAAAATGTTGAACTTATTGCGAAGTGCAAAGAGGGTTACTATGTTTTATTTATCATATTCTTAATGTCTTTCGCGTGCTGTTATCGCCGACTATGATCAACTTCCGCGAAACGACATGTGAGTCTGCCGCCGACTATAGTTTCCCTTCCTCAAATATTGTTAGGCACTATAATTTGTGAAGATAAATTTTTTATGTACGTGCCGTTTTGTTCTTTGTACTCGGAAGTTGTACCTTTAAGAAAGTGAGCTATAACGGTGGCGTAACTTAAAAAGTATTATTGCACCAGCGTGCACTGCTGTACAATCGTTACTGTACCTTCGCTTTCTGGCCGGATCTGTTATAGCGAAAGGTGTATCTATTTTTCACAGCATTACGTTATATTTCTCATATTTAAAAAGAAATAAGTATATAGTTAGAAGAAAGGTGTCGAGGATCTTCAATAAGATCTTTATTATCTATCGAAGACATAGAAACGGACCTTCTTCCAGAGAAACTTGCACAACGCATTCTTGTTTAATGTCTCACATACAGCTTTCTCACCGAATCATTATTTAAATTATTTAACCCGTTCAACTATCGATAATATGCATCGTTAATTATGGCGCTCGAATATACGGCTGCAAGTTACTTGCCCGCATCCTTTGAAATAATCGCGTGCGCTCGGTCATCACGAAAATTCGGAAGAGATTTTTATTTTCTATTTTTCATAGAAAATATTCTCTTTAAAAGATATTCATTTTTATAAGAGGTATCCTTCTAAAAGATATTCTTTCTCACAAAGAAGTTATTTCAACAAGAGTAGGTAAAAGAGGCCTTTAATATACTTGCAGTCAATATAACGCAGGTATAGTAAATTTTGCCTTTACGAGGAGTGCGGAGAAAAATACGAACAATTCGTTCGTCTCTGTAGTTTTGGTAGCTCTGGCAGTTGTTAAGAACCGTAATTTTTAACTACATTTTTTAACCGATCGCACTAATAATACCGAGGGGTAAACCGCTGAGGGCATTGTGGCGTACTTTGCACTACTGGGCATTACTAGGCATTTTTCGGGTATTAGTTTGGACAGTAAACCTTGCTGGGGCATTATAAAGATAAAATAAGATAAGAAGATAAAGTAATGCCCTGGGCATTAATGGGTATTGGTGTACAAGATTTTGGTCAGCGGTTTACCCCTCGGCTCTAACTCCTATGGCATTTAAATTCACTTCGCTTTCTTTGAACTCCTCTATCAGGTTTGGTTTTTAACATTTTTCAATTTTAAAAAATTATTAATTAATATACTATATTATTCGACGGGGAAGCCGCTAACTAAAATCTTGTACACCAATGACGACTAATGCCCAGTGGGCATTACTTTAACTTATTATCTTATTTTATCTCCTTTGTCTTGTTTTATCTTATCTTACTTTATCTTATTTTATCTTTATAATGCCTCAGCAAGGCCCAAACTGATGCCAAATCGAAACTCCGTTTACGATCGGTTTGGATCTTCTTGTTAGTATCTAATTATATTTCGGCGTATATATTTTTGTGATAATTAATTTAATATTCTTGAAATAAGAGTCTCCCTTTTGGAAAATATTGTCACATATTTCAGTAGTCGAATTGGCAAGACACCCGTTCTGGATAGTAAGTCCTAGATAGGGAGGTTCAGGTTCAAATCCTGGCTGAGACAATATTTTTCGTGATAAATTCTTTATACAACACATAGAATGTGCGAAGAATTCCAAGTGAGATGTCTGTTTTAAGAATATTATTAAATTAATTATCTATTTAATTAAATATGTTATTTCGACATCAGCCAAATATTGTATTTCAAGAACGAATGTTATCGGCGCGCCGTTTGCTTTGTTGAAAAAAGATGTATACGCAAAAATATAATTAGGCACTAACAATAAGATCCAATCCGCTCTTAAACAGCATTTCCCGCATTACTAAAATTATTTTATACTGCTACTTCAGTTTGATTATCAACACGCGTCTCTTTTAAAGATATCTAAATGTATTTTCTGACCGCGTATAAAAAGTCCGACGTAAATCGAGGCGAGTGTACTCTTTAATTTCACTGTCAAAAAAGTCAGTAAATATATATTCTTTATTGTAATTTAATAATGTTATATTGTACTATAGCGCTTTTTACGTTAAAAACAAACGTAGTAAAAAAAATACGTTTTTACATACATTCGATTTAAGGAACTTTCGGCATAAATAAAGGCTCATCTTTATTAGTCCGTTAAATCGTTCGCTGTATTATCCTTTACACGTTTTACGTTCTGTTATTACATGAGTTTAAAACCACCGGCGCGGCAATGTTAAAAATTTAAATGTCTGTGATCGGCACGTTCAACCTAGAGCATTGAAACCTAGAAATCTGTGCATGGTCATTGTAAAGGTCAGACGTCCAGTTAAGTTGCTCTAAATCGATCCTCAAAACCTGGTTCTCTTTACACAAAGGCCGACCCCAAAATGAAATGCAGAAAATATATCGTATTTTACCCGTCTTGTAAATTTAAAACTGAGCAAAATCAGTAGAACCAATTTTAATTAATATTTTTATTTATTGCTCATTTACTGCTAAGAAATTACCTTTAGCGAAACATTGTTATTTTAAACTTACAGAACGACAAAATAAGTGAAACCAATTTTGAGAGCAACTTAGCAACTAATTCTTATATATTGTTATTACAATTTTGTCGTTATACATGTATTGTTCCGATAACTTAATATTCCTTTAGACATCATGAAACATTACATTTAAAAAAAATTTGTAAAGTAATTTTTTCTTTAGTAATTTTTTAGCAAATGAGCATCAAGTGAAAATATTAATTAAAATTGGTTGTACTCATTTTGTTCCGCTAACTTCTAAAGCGATATCGAAAAGGATCTGGATAGTCATAATAATTTTATTCAATATTTCATCATGATACAAAAAATAAAGCCAATAATATAAAATAATATAAAATGAGAAAAAGACTGACACGTATTCGTGCCTTATAATTCTGTAATTACATTCGCCTTATTTTTATAATAATAAGAGAATAAAATTTGAAAGATATAAGATTGATTTACATTAAATAATCAAACTAATATCTAGACTAATAAATAAATAATAAAATAATATTATGTAAACATATTAAAGGATTACAACCAGTAACTATTTATTTGCTTTATAAAAATTTCAGATGCCACTGCAAATTCAAGAGCCGAGAGTAAATGATGATTATTATGATTTTACTCCTCATCTCTATGGCACTCTAGAAGAGTAAGTTCGCACTTTTCTTTCAAGAACGCTGTATATACAATACATTATATTATATACGCTGTATTACATAACGAATGTACAACGTATAAATGTATTTTTTAAATACAGAAACATACATATGACTGATTTGGAGGACCAGTGGCTGAATCACGAAAGTAGTCAACCTTGTTCTTCTAGCTGGGTACTTTTTCTTTATAATTAATGAATATTATAAACATAAATTACATAATTTAAAATCATACAACATAATAATTAAATATTTTTCCAATACGAAAACACAGTGGAGCAGTGCTGGGAATTTAGTCTTCGATATTCGAAAATGTCCACTTACTTTAGACGAGGATATAGACGAATCTTGTGAATTCACAGAAAAGAAAGAAGGAACAGAAACTGGTTTGTGTTATTAATAATTGTTAAATGTTTTTCGTCATTATTTTGTTAATTTTGATAGAAAATTAAGTCTTTTTTTATATATATAGTAGTTACTGGAGAAGAAGTTACGTTTGAAATAGCTGATAATAGTACAATAGTAACGGATACAAATCAACCTGCAGAGGAAACAAAGGAAAAAGAATTTAAGTGTCCAACCAGTAATTCTGTGCCTGTATCATCCTCAAAAACAAGTAAGAAAAATACAAATATTCGGAAGAAAAACCGAAATGTAAGAAAGAAAAAGAAAGAAGATTCGGTTACAATAGTTACTAAAAACGCCAAGCCAGAAGAACAAGAAGATTGTGTGGATGTGGAAACTATACCAAAAGATGAAGTACCAGGTATTTAAGGAGGGTGGTTGCTCAAACAAAAATGATAAAATTGAATTTACATTTATAGAAAAAAAATATTAATATGATAATATATATAATATACAGGGTGTCCTGAAATTTGCGAATCAAAATACCATAGCAAGAAAGTCGTCGAAAAAATAAATTAAAAAGTTATTTACCATTTTTCGTTCCGAGCAGTAGTTTTTTTAGATAAAAAGGTTCAAAACAGGCCAATCATACATTACGGTTGAATGGAAACCTGTCCGTGAGTCGCGCGTCGATAGTGTTAGTGCATTATATATAATTAAATATCGTATTCGTCAAAATTCTTCGTAAATATGTATAGAATTATTTGCACTTCTTTTTATAAAATTCTTATCATTTTTAACGTGCTTTCGAGAATTAAATTACAGATATTGTAATACTTTTGCTATGTTGGTCATGCACACAGAAAAATATATACTACCTGCAAGTAAAGATTATTTGTTCCAAGTATTTGATAAGTTTATATATCCGCAAATCTATCATAATGTCATCGCAAGTGTTATATTTCCTCAAAATATATTCTGGTTCTTAGTAAGTCTAGTATTTCAAACAAGAATACATAGAATTATTTGAAGCAAAACAATTTTGTTTCTTCTGATTTTATTAAAAGAAGCATACGGAATTCTTCAATAAGTTTTATAATTTTCTTCAAAGAAGAATAAATTCTTTCTTTGAGTATAAGATGGCAACCTTTTCCAAGACTAGTAACAAGTATATCTTAAAACTATTATTAAGAAAATATTCTTTGTTAAAGCAAACTATTACTTAAACGGAATAAAATAAACCGAGTAATTACTTTTCTTGACTGTACAATAATATTTTTCTGTGTGTGTGCAATAGTATAACTTTAATAATTAATTATTCAACAACCATGCAAACAATCGTCTTGTACTTTCGCATGGAGGACAGATTCCCATAGACGAATATTTTCTATAAATTTGAATTTATTTTTATCATTTTTGTTTCAAGCTAAAAATAGCATTGTAACGTTTTACTAAAAGTTTTATTTCTCATTAGTAATAGAAGCAGCTGATGTAAAGAGTTTGTTAGAACAATTTGAGGCTTCTCAAACTCCAAATCTGTGCAATAAATTGACCGTTACAAATAATCCCACTTGTGACACGAAACCAAACACACCGTGGCAAGTGACACAAGAATGCCGGACAAACGTATCGGAGAAATTTGTTTCGCAAGCTGCCACTCAACAGAAAGACGTACACGCCTCATTAGACGCCAGAAGCATCGTAGATAAAATAAAGGTGATTATTTCAATAAATATTTTAATATTTAATCGGGCTACATACTAGTGTAATCTGTTTCCAATCTAATCACGATTATCTTGTTAAATTTTAGTCATCGGAACGTAAAAGAACTTGTATTCCAATAATACCCGCTAAGCCGAATATACCGGGTGGAATTCGTAGCATACGAAAACAACAAAGAGCTTCTCGTAAGAACAAGACTAATTCTCCCGTAAGTCCCTTCCCCTAAGTTACGGTATGATTGAAATATGCATGTAAAACGCGCACATCTATATGCTTCGTGTATCGACTATTGTTGCAAAATCTATGATGCAAAATAATTCACTATTAATTAACGCTTTTTCAGGTAACGAACAATGTTGAGACTTTGAGAACAGATTTCAGTGACGTTTCTTGGGTACAGTTAGATCATGATTATTGCAGAGCCAACCCTACTACAAACAACACAAACAATGGTAAGTACGATAGACAATTCAACTATAACGAAAAACCATCTTCGTTAAAGACATTAAAACTTATCTACCTCTTTCTACAGAAACCACGACACATGCTACAAATACGCCTACGCTATGCAGAAATAAGAACTTGGATACGACCGAAGAAAAACAAAGGTGTATCCCTGCACAAGAGGCCCAAAATTTGAATAGAACATATGGCATTGGTAGAAAGCCTTACGAGCCAATAGCCTTACAAGTTAAAATAAAAGATAATGTTCTCGAAAGTAATCAGAAAAATGATCAACAACAGTCTCCTTCGAAACAGTCCCAGAACACAAATGCTTCATCTTCTATTACAAATAAAAATTTCAACGAATCTCCTCAACTTTTGGGCACACTACAAAGTTCTGACAATATTCAGAATATCCGTTCATCTTTAGCTAAAAGAATCTTGCAATCACATGGTTACATAGTTAAAACAAATGCACAAACAAGTCCTAAACCACAGCTTATGGTTTCCGTATTGAAGAATCCACCAAATGCATCACAATCACCGTTCTCAACAAATTATTCTAACGAAAATATAGTGACCACTACAAACAGATTAAACAACGAAGTACAAAATATAATTCTACAGAATACTCAAGACACGCTGCCGCATGAAGAAGTGATGACAGAGCCACCTCGCAAAAAGTTAAATCTAATCTCTCTACAAGAATATCGAAATAGAAAGAATGAAAGTAAGCCAGCAAAACAAAAATCTCCCATGGCATTAATGTATGTCTACCACGCTGCCACTATGACAGAATTCAAAATTATGGATGATCTGGAGTCTAAGATTTGTGAGAGAGAAATTATTTCAGTCTTGAAAGAGAAATCAGAGATGAACAGAAAAGAAAAAAACAAGACAAAACCACCTACTTGTGATACAGGCGTACAAACATATGAGTCTATGTTTGAATGTTCCACAAATGTAACATCGGATGTGGAAATCATTGAGGAGATACCAAAGGAAATAAAAGACAGGACGAAACCTGATAAGAGGTAAGTTATCAAATATTATCATATTAGTCAAATATTAGTCTTATTAAAATACTTAAAATTTCACGGTGAACTTTATTCGAGTCTTCTGTGTGTCCAAGACAAATCTTCTTCTCCTTTCCCTTAAATTAGGCTTGACCTATTTTTCCGATTAATTCCTTCTTGTGATCCGGATGTCCAACTGTCCAACCATTTCTTTGGGGGTCTTCCTGGGGGGTCTTCTCGATGTTGGTTTCCCCATATCTTGCTACCAAAATAATTTATTAAAAAGATTTTATTTATATTAAGTAATGATGCAATATAATGTTATTGGGACAACTACACACGTTTTAAAAAAGATTTTTCGAAAGCTAATCAGTTTTAACATACATTTAATATAGTCCTCTTATATACTCTTTGTCTCTTTATCAAGAAAAGTCATCGTGAAATTTATGAAAACTTATTCTAATTATCAACAGGAAGAAAAATTATTTGACGACTTTAAACTGGCCTAAAGTGGTTTAATCTAATAAATTATTTCAACGTTTCGACCATCCAGATTGTGATTCTTTTCAAGGAAATGTCTACAATTTTGGAGAAACTTATTATTTATGAGCCGTTCATGTAACTATTGGCAGTATAGCCACCGAAAAGAAACTAAGTTTACAATGCCACACTTACATGAATTAGTCAAAATTAAAGTGTAAAAAGATGTCATCCATCTCTGGATATCGGTCAGACAAAACTGTGTTTGAAGGCACGTCCATCCGACACAACCGCTACAGTAGAACTACGGTCAGAGACGTTACATCGAAAAGACACAGTGAATACGAACGATAAATAAACAAAACACCAAAAGTATGATCAAAATTAAAATTAAAAGAAAAGAAAATGAACTATTGAAACGCGAATAAATAAGACTTCAAGAAAAAGAACATTAAAGTAACGTTAAAGTTATAAATTAAAAAGAAGGAAAAATGTAATTAAATGGAATAATTTATTAGATGAAACCACTTAGCCAGTTTAAAGTCGTCAAATAATTTTTCTTCCTGTTGTTAATTACTGGCGATAATAATATTCCAATCATTCTAATTATATTTAATTATATTATAATTTATATAATATCATAATAGGGTGGAAAGTATCAAAAATTATGAACAAAGATCCTGTAAAAGAAAACTCTCTCGCAGTCTGAGTCGATCTAGATCGAGGAGCAAAACGAATAAGATGAGCAGAAGCAAAAGTAGAAGTAGAAGTAAAAGTAGAAGCAGAAGAAGGAGAGACAGAAGAAGAAGTAGAATCTACAGCAAAAGTAGAAGTCGGAGCAGAAGCAGAACTAAAAATAGGAACAGAAGCAGGAATAGACGTAGTAAAAGTACAACCAGAAGCAGAAGTAGGAGTAGATCTCGTCTACGCAGAAGTAGGAGTAGATCTTGTCTACGCAGAAATATCCGCCAACGAACAATAAGTCATCGACGCAGTTCTGTCAGCTCAACCAGCAGTTCATCTTTGACAAGATCATCTCGCTCATCTTCGACGAAATCAAGATACTCATATTCACGCTACAGATCTCGATCCTGTACCCGATCGCGATCTCGTAATCGATCACGATCGCGTAACCGATCTCGATCCTATAACCGATCACGATCCCGTAACCGTTCTCAATCTCGTTTTCGATCTCGATCTAAGTCCAGATGTAGTTCCAAATCTAGATCTTCCAGACGACGATATTCCAGTCAAAGTTCAAGGTATGTAACGAAAGAAAAAAAGATAATATAATAACTGCGCGATTGATATACACATAGATTGATTCTAAGATAATTACATTTCGTTGAAGTTTACATCCCTCTACTTCGGCAATCTTATATAAGTATAAAATATATAATTGCTATATACTTTTGGAATTAAAATAGTTTCTTTAATTGTTTGTAATTTTTTAATTATCTTTTTGATTAAAAAAAAGAACTTAAGCTCCAAGTTGATATTATAAAAAAATCTACTCAAAATAGCAAGAAATTTTATATAAATTTAATTATTTCAATAAGCATTCACATTTTGAAATAATTCATTCTAATATAAATAAATAACATTAAGATTACATTAGATCGTGAATAATATTAATTTGAATGGAATTTAAAGTTCTTATAAAACATCAACAGGTCTTCCTCTGCCTCGAATTTTGAGAAGCATGGATGGTCTAATCATCGAAGGGATAGTAGCGATTGCGAAAGAAATTATGACAGAAATTATGAAAGAAGACAGTCCTTAACTAACCGTCACGACTATAGAAGCAGGTAAAACAGGTTTTCAAGATATATATGTACAATTACTACCGACATAGAGAAACGAACATTTGCTGAACAAATATTATTATAATTTATTATTAATTTTATTATAATTTGTATTAATTTGATAATTTATTATATTATTCTCAATGTTAAAAAGCGTATCGCCAATTGAAGAGATTATTTCCATAATGTCTTATAATTAATTTACTATAAAATAGTTATTTAATTTTTTGTTAATGTTTAGAAAAAATTAAGATAAACTTATTTAAGACATTTTTTTTATTGATGTCAAGAACTAATTGTGCATCCTAATAGTAATACAAGTTCAAATAAAGATCGTTTTTATCATTTGTTTCTAGTAGATCACCGTTACGTTCTTATTGTAACTGGTACAATAAAGAACAAGACGAACGGAAAGTTCTATTTGTGAGAGGCCTGGACAAAGAGGTCACCAAAGATGATCTTCGTAAAAGATTTGAAGTCTTTGGGCCTGTTATGAATATTACTATTCATAACGATAAACGAGGGTATGTGTCGTGACTATTCATTTTATTATTTTCTTAATTCTGTTATTATTTAAATAAAAATTTTACTATTCTTATTTAAAATATATGATTAATTTCAGCAATCTTATTGGCTTTGTCACATTTAAAAACAACACCGATGTGTACAAAGCCATGGAGCATGGTAATGACAATCCGTCATTACCTAGATACCATCTAGCCTTTGGAGGTCGTAGGGCCTTTTGCAGATCGGACTATGCTGATCTGGGTAAGAGAAAATTAATCATATTATTAATATTATATACAGTACCGGTCACAATTATATCATCTTTCGTTTTCTTGAGTATAACTAATTTTAAAATGCACGAATGAAAAATTCGAAAATTGTGGTGTATTTCGTCAAATTTTAGTACCCTTCGTGTACAAGATGCATCTGTTATCAGGTGTCTACTGTAAAATTTTGTGCACATTCGATGCACATGAAAGTTTAGCTCTGAAAACCTAAGGGCGATATAACTTTGACCAGTACTGTATATTTAGATGTACGAAAATGTAATTTTGTTCTTATGATAATTACATTTTTGTTCTAGATGATATAAAAAATACGCGGAAATCCCTGGATAGATTCTCTCAAGCAGATGAAGAGAACTCCTTCGATTATCTGCTGAAAGAGGCAAAAGCACAATTGCGTAAGAGAAAAGTTTGACATACGTACTGTTTAATAGTTTTATTAGATATATGTTTCTAATAAAACTATTAAACTATAGATATGTCAAATGATATTTTCGATTATCCATACCTTATTACATAATCAGAAGATCAATATCTTATATTCTTGTATTAGTTATATTATTTATTATATTATATATTTATTATATAAATAGTAAATATTAGAAGCATGCAAACACCTGAAATTTTCGAGTTTTCGATGTCTGATTCAGATTTTTTGATTTTTTCAAATATTTGTTTCCTTAGCTTACTCAAAACTAGTGAACTGTCCAAAAAGAGAATACATTTTATTGATCCTCGGATTACGTAACAACGGATAATGGAAAATATTCATATGATTAGTCAGACTTAGCAAGTACCTGATCTTCATGAGAGTAATCGAACTCGATTGGTCATGAACTTTGTGTAAATTGCTATCTGCACATTTAGGAAATACAATAACGATGTAACAAATGGCGAAATTTATTTTAATGTAAATATACTACGAGATTTTTGTAAACGTAATTGAAAGAGCAGAGATAAAAATAGAGTGCAGATTTACTTTAAAAGACTACTTTCGTTTGCTATATTCATCTGTACAGATGTGATGAATATATATATGCGAAAAGTAGATTATTTATAGCTAGGACATTTTAAAATACAAATCGAGTTTTTTTACAAATTCTTTGACTATGTTAAAATATTATTTATTATTTCTTTCATAATTACGTTTATCATACTGACAACCTGTTGTACAGGCAGAGTAACGGTGGAAAATTTATTTATTTGCTAGAGATGGTGTGATCTGACCGTCGCATAGATGTAGAGTGGCCATATTCCCTCTAGCAAATAAATAAATTTCCCTATTTATATAACAGATATATATCATTTATTTCTTTGTATGTCTATTCGACGCAGTCAAAAATTAGTCAAGAATTATAATCGCTGTTTTATTAAATTGTTTTATGAAACTTGTTCCTCCCAGTGTGATGTAATCTTTGATAATTCAATTATGTAACTCTAGATAAGAAAGACAATAGTTCTGTACAATGTTAATTAAATTACATGTGCCAAATACATCGTATATTTGGCCAACATAAAGTTTCTACTACTATAGCCCGAATTATTTAATGAGATGTAAATATTTAATTACATTTTCATTAGTTAATCATATAGGTATTTATGTCTCTATTATACGATTAATCATTTATTGTCTACTGCCATGATCAACTATTAATTAGAATCATAGATTAGAAACAGATTTTACAGCAAAGATAAAACAATGAGGTAATCTTGGTCTTAAAAAAATTGAAAAGTTTTAGCAAATGTGCAAAATTTCATTATAATTATTAAATTAAATCTGTGTATGAATATTGTTAAATGTATATAATTATTGTTAAATACATGCACACATAATAAAAATCACATACATTGTAATTATGATGATTATTACCATTCCACATTTTCTCTTTTTCCGAATTTCAACGCTCCTAAAGCCAGTGGCACATAATGCTTTCTTGCTTGCTGGTTTGCTTGCGTGCACCTTTGCTGACTAGTGAGAGCCAATCAAGCTTTAGCCTTAAGCCATCCGATCTAAAACTCTGCATCCTTATTGGATCTCGCAAGCAATCCAGTAGGAAAAATAGTATCGTGTGCTATTGGCTTAAATTCAAAATTTATGATTGAACAATTTACCTTTATACCTACTTGAATTGTATAGACGAAACAACTTTATAATCGTAAGCAGTTGATGATGTATACTCGAAGTTCTTTGTCATCCAAGGATGTGAGAGTGATCGTTGCTTCATACAATGGAGGAGTTGTTGGTAGAACGTGTATCATCATTGGAACTTGCTGGTTAGACAACCTCACATCTACACACACATGTAATCAAAAGTCTATTTTTACTGTAAACATTTTTGTGAACATTTTAATTATATAAATATCGAGTTCAAATTACCCAAAGATTTCATGGGCGAACAATAGAAGACAATTGTATTTTCGTACTTTCAAAAGAAATAGCAAAGACAAATTAAATCTTTTCTTTTAATAGATTCAAATAGATTTTGTACATATACATATATAATGTAAAACACAAAACATACAGCATAAATCATACTTGCCTTGGATAGTCAAGCATTCTGGTAGAATGAGAGGACTCGATTTGTCCGAAATTGTAACTTTATATGTGACTGCAGTATTAAAAATATGGACAAATTCCAAAGCTGTAGAATCAACATCTCCCATCCACCCGTGTATCAATCGTAATTCAATGTAAGTATCTGAAAGCAATAATTAAAGAGAGTAATTGCTGAGTAATAAAGTAGCAACATAAATGACAATTATTTGTCCACGTGGTAAAATAAATATAAATAAATATAAATAGATTATCAAGTTACGAATAAACTAAAAAGATTCGACTAATGAGCATTTTAATTTCTTTAGATGCCATACGATTCACTAGGATAACATACCCAAGTATTTTGACCAGAACTGACGTTCCTTTGGTTCAAGAGTTTTTTGGAACATCTCAGTTACACATTTCCGAAATTGAATATTACAAGATGGTACAGGTAAGTTAATATTAAACGGGCAATTGCTTCTTACGCCACTTCCCTGATTTGAGCAAATGCATTCACCTTGAGCCGCCCACTCAACAACAATATGATCGTTAACAGACGTTTGCCAAACCGAATTTATCTATTGTAGTCAATAAGAAATATATAATTTTATTAATAATTGCTGGCATCTTTAATTTTTCGAGATCATAAATCGTGTTGCGGCATATAAAATGTCAAATTTCGGTTGATTAAAAATATTGACATCGGTATTTCAGTGATATTAGTTTCGCAGAGTACAATTTTACATACAATTTAATCATTAATCACTATAGTCACACTTATCACTGTAGTTGTGCTTATAAAGTCTTTTTCAGAAACACGTTTTACTTGTTTTGTTTGAAGTTCAAAATGAGCATAAATTTTTTTATATAAGAATATAATTCTCTTACATGAATTAAAATTGAAGATTAACACTATTGCAGTCTATACTCGTAACATTAATAGAGCCTTTAGAAAAAAAAGATTATTAATAAAAAAACTAATAGCATTAGTTTCAAAATATTTTGATTAAATAAGCTATTTTTTTCAATATAATGTTTTAATAATTTATTCAAATATCCAATATTTTATATGCACCAACCTATATATAATATATGTTTTTCACATTTTGAATTACTTATGGACGACCTCGCATTTTCGTCTGTCGTAAATTAATTTGCTCGTACTTGAATAATGAAGTCGCCTGTCTTCGATTGAAAGATTAACCAAAATGTTCGTTGCTTCGGTGCAATACACGCCACACTGATCGATAAATGCACCTCTGATGCGCCCTCAGCAACGACTATTGATTCCTGATTCAGGAAAAGCCTTCGTGGTACTTTCCTGGCTCGCAATTCACGCCATCGCGTAATTTTTAGATTTGCTAAAAATATGCGGATCACAATTATGTTGCACATTTTTTTATTACAAAATGAGAACAATGAATTAGCTCGGGACTATCAAATGTCAAATGCGAATATTGCAAATTACTAATACATGTAGCGTTTTCCAGAGTAAAGCTAACATAGTAAAATAGTTTAGCATGTTAAACTTTGCACGAGTTTAGATAGAAGAATAACTTAACAGATATGAGTTATCGTTTCTTTTATACTGTAATAACGTTGATCAGTTCTCTGCGTTTGCTGTAGCGAGCGAGCCTTGAAAAGCTACTGTATTAAAAAAAATTTATCTTTCCTTACATGGATGACTCGGCCATTCGTCCGCCATCCATATTTCATATTTTGCAGCATTTTGATAGGGTACATTGATTCTCAGATTCGTTTCGACAATCTTGTACAGTTTGCTGCGTATAGTGTACTCCCTCGTGATTCCCAGATTATCAGTATGACCTTCTAAAATAATAGTTTGATTCGTCCCGAAATGTGGTCCAATAGCCCGTCCGCAAAGCACCAAGTATGCTGTTGATGAATTAATAAATCCGATGTCAGAAACGAGATTCAAAAAGATCTCCTCATTTTAAACAATTTGCAGAAGCTTGATTTGATTAAATAGTAACGGAGATGTCTTAATCTTGTCGCGTTAAAATAAAATGTCCTATACAACCCAGAAAATTTAGGGAGAAAGATATTTTACAAACTAAAATTGAAAAATATGATGGTCGTTAAGGTAATAATTACGACTTAATTACAACTAATCCAAATTATTGTAACGGTTTTTAATTACAACTATTAAAGATATTTTAAAGTAAACATATGCTTTACCTCTGTCTCTCCGTATTTTCTTGGCATGAAATTGTATTTGTATTTGGCCACTGCCGTGCGCATTTAAACGTAAAACCGATGCGGGCTTCAGGATGGTAAAAAAACGATTGACATCGTTCACGAGCAACAAAAAATAAGTTACAATGTTATCCGACGGATTTGAAACGCTTATTTGCTTTGTTACGGTTTGAGAAAGTGGACAGCTAAATTTGATCTGCAACAATTAAAGAAATAACAGTAATATTCAATTTACACACATAATACGAGAACATATATTCTAGGATTACATTTTCTCAATTTGTCTAGGATTAAAGTTTTTTTATTCAGAAAACACTAATAACATTATTAAGAAAACCAAGGCAGAAGAGCCAAAGCAAGATATTAGTACTAACAAATATATTATAAACAATTACTTGCTTTATTACGGTTTGAGAAAATAGACTTTTCGGTCTGTCATCAGGCCTACTTCAATATTAAAAACTAACAGAGTATAAATAAATGCAAAGTGATGATTAAATAGAATTCGCAAAATTACATGCTGTTAAAGGTTGAGAACACGTTTTTAACATAGTCATCAAAATTAGAAAATTCGTTGTCGAGTCCTTGAAACGAACGATATAAGAAATTGTCCAATATATAAATCGTGTGAGAAAATTCATGATTGAATTACTGTAATGATGTATGAGCGTGTAAATTAGAGTTAATGTAATAGTATAATAATATAATGATCAGTTGATACATACTTGTATTAGATATAAATTAGAAGAAATGATTTGTAGAGCGGACTATCCTTGTCAAAGATTAAAACTACAATGCGAACTGTGGAGAGACTAAAGAAGCGTGTTGCTGACAAGGTGGAAAACAACAGACATGGAAGGGAAGATGAGATATTAAAATGTGAAGTTCAAAATTAAAAACAAACATTACTGGTGAAAATAAATTTGTTTTACCAGCGAGACATGGGCTTGAGGCAAAAGCTCCGCGTGTCGCTTTGTCTATTAATATTCGATTTTTGTAATTTTATGTAAAGCATTTCAGATATTAATCGTTTAGCGTAGGAGCGTTCTTGTTCTAAGACATTAACATGTCCCCAATCAAAACGATAAAAGAGTAAATTATCAAAATGATATTATGTAAATCGTACATATATGATATTAACTTTATAATTTTTTCCCACAAACCTTGGCGCGAGGTACGTACGTCGGCAAAACTTGGAAAAGATGAACGACCAGCATTAATATTTGCACTTGATTCGGATTGACTAATTGCATCGGCGTAATTATAAAGCCTAGTCGTATTTTCCTCCAAGCGGTGACTAGGCAAATGGCGTTATGCAACATCTATACACGGCATTGCGAAAATTATGTAGTTTGCACTCGATGTAAGCAGGATTGTAAAGTTGAAGTTTGAAGATAACGATCAAGAGAGATTGTTAGATTATTGCGACTGACAATTTGATAGCGCGTTCTCCGTTTTACACCTTTTCCTTCGTCTTTATATAAGTTATGCTAAGTTGCACAAATTAAAAAAATATAACGCTGTTTATAAGAAATAACAATTAAATCTATCATCCAATTCTTTTTCTTTTTACTGCTCTTATCTCGAGATATATGATATTCATTGCTTTAACGTTCGCGTGACCAAAATCTCACTGATTCACATTGTCCTAATTGGATCTTGAGTTTTAATACGCATATAATTGTTATATCATTTTAATCTTTGATGTACGAACCGATACATGGGTCTTTTAGCTATCGCCAGAGTCCAATACTCGACGACTTACTTCATGTTTGTTTCTCGGGTAAATGTACAGGTTGCTGAAGCATTCGTCGATGAGAAAGGGACAGTAGGCTGCGGTAACTGCAATTAGCACGAGGCTATTTGACAAGTTGCAATGAAAATTCTGGATCATGCGATGCTCGACCACATCCTGCTTTTCCCGTGGACTCAAGTTTACACGGCGATCAGTCATCCAATCTCGCACACGCTGTTGTTCGTAATGATATTGCAGCCAAGCTAGTAGAAACTTTTCTTCCGCACAATGATCGCCGGTAACGAGTTCGCAGCTTTGCGAATTTGCGATACTCTGAATAGCTCTCTCATGTAGCTCGTATTGCCTCGGCAAGCTGCGAAAAGCATTATCCAATTAGAGACGCGATTGTAAAATTAACGCAGCAACAAACCTCAACCTAGACGATACTATCGATTCCCGATACACCGTGGATCTCCTCGAGGAACGCGGCGACGTCCAGAATTTATGCTCATGTATCCCACGGAGCACGAGGCACTTGTACGTCTGTAAAATCACGTCCAACCAACACAGCTTATTTCGCGACTCGAATAATTGCCGCGACAGCCGTTCGCGTGGCACGCAATTTGTATTGAAAAGCCTTTTTCTTCGTGCCTGTAACGCAATTAACCACAGACCGATGAATCTTCGTGGAGTTGTAATTCAGCTAAAAGTTTCTTCTGTACATTGGTCTTTAAATCTTGGATTAAATCTCATTATTGCCTCTTAGAAAAGAGAGATTATATAAGCTCGTAGCTTGTAACTTATAACTAACATTGCCCTGCACGATGTCAATGCTGATCAGATAATCGTTGTAATTGAGAAGAAATTGCGGCGAAACGTGAAATAAATACGCTCCTTGTGACAGAAGAAAGTCGAGTATCTTGTTATGTAACTGGAGGACACGATCGATTCTTTCGATGTCATTTTCAGGTAACACCTGTCTCGACCTTGAACAAAGAAACAATGTACTCGAGGAAGCATGCACAAATTCATACAAATCTTATAATATTACAGTTCTCCCAAGTAAGTGCGAATATTTGGTCCCACAAGCGATTCCAGGACATCGATAAACGACAGCATAGTCGTGCCGCTTTCCTGTTTCCAATTTCCCACGTATGATTTTTTTTTTATGTGAAAATACGAGAAAGCTGCTGTAATGCCATACGGGATGCTCGGATAAAAACGAAATTCCAATGGGCCCGAATACATCCATTCTTCCATAATCGTCATTATTCTTTCCACATGTTTCTCGCAATCGCTAGTAAAGATAAATACATGCAAGATACTCGTCACAGAAATCATTTTATAATATCTGTAAATTAAATTTGATCTTATAGAATTTCAATTAACTGTCATCGGTCAAATTGGCGGCTAAGATCCACTGAATTGAAGTTAAATAGTAGAACATTTATCGATATGCTTTATTATTTTTTATTCTGCGCATTTATTTTCTCATATAACAAACATTTATGTTAATTCTGACTGCTAAATAATTATCTTAATTAACTGACAATCCAATCTCAGTCAGTGAAGAGATCTGCTACGTTAAACCTGAGTTCGAAGACTAAACAATGTGAAGCCACTTTTACGCTTTCTCTCTCAGCCGTGTACAAATTTAACTTGAATTCTGGCTACAATTTCATCCACTTTAAGTTCTCGCACTATAAAACCTGATGATTTTGTTCCTCATTTCTTAAAACTTACTCATTTCGATCGTTCGCCGCATGACCAAGATGCAATAATTTTTTGGAGAGGCTGCGATCCCTCGCTCCGGAAGCCATGGAGAGCGCGGAAGGTCTTATGCGAATCGATACTCGTTTACCGTTATCATCCAGCGTCCGTTTCCCGTCTACTTGCATGTACCCGTTACCTACTCCATTATCGTTTATTTCTTTACTTCGATGCAATTTCGAATCTGTCGTCTTATCGACATAGCTTATACTTTGGGCATCAAAGTGCGACGTAATACTGGGTCTCGATTCGAATAATTCGCTCTGGATTTAAATAGGTTACATTAATATGTGGAGGAAAGTCCCCTATTGTGGGATAGGCTCCTAATATGAGATAGCGGAATTTCCGTTGATTCCACCATGAATTTTTGGCCCTTGGAGTAAAGTCTGTTTAGTGGAAAATTGATTGTTAGATCGTGCAATCGTCGCGCAAAAAGATCTGCGATTGAATCGCGACGTTGAAAACTCATTATCTCATACTAGAATCCTATCTCATAATAGAGGACTTTCCTCTGTAGCAAGTGATTTTGTTTTCTTATCAAAACAGATACGTCAGCTGAATCTTGAGACTCAATTTGATATTTGTTTGTAATCTCGATTCAATAGAGATTCTCAAAGGAAGTTTTAGAAAGTAGTTTTTGTACATATTTCGTATCATCTGAGAGATTTGAGTCGGGAAAAATTGCGTATCGCCGCTTTAATCGATGTTTTGACTCCCAAGACGAATTTCGGGTGAGTAATCGGTCCCCTTTTCAGCTGAATACAGTTTCGGTTAATCTTTAATCAAAATGTAACGAGGTATTGAACCGTCCGTGTCTCAAGACATGAAGCTCCAATCTGAGTATCTCACCTGACGCACTCTCGAGACGAGAATAGAGAAACGGCTATAAATACGGGCCGTAAAGTTATAAGCAAAATTCTATCTTCAAACCTGGCACAAATTACGATAATCGATAGTGTAAGAGTAAGCTTTACGGGGACACGTTGAGTTATAATTTTTTGTCGTGTATCATTAAACTAAAATCTATGCCAGTCGCAGCGTTTGGCGATCTATTCACGAATAAGTAGATATTATCGCGTAATAAAATCTGATTGTAGTAATATTATATCTCTAAAGTACTTTTATTGCACGCAAATCGACAAACGTACGTGTCTGAGTGTACGAGTCCCTTCGTCGTAATCGTCCTCGTCTGTCGCGCTATCCGACGACACTGGTGGATATGAGACACATTTCTCCGAACATCTATCGTATGTCCTGTCAAAGCCGGACTTATACATGTACGTCGTTATCAAATTATTATCCGCCGTTGCGTACACCGTTAAAGAACACGCAGCGAGCGCTCGATCGTCCGAAAATTCAATAGTTGAGCAAAACGATACTGGTCGGTCGCTCTTGAACGTTATTCTTGCTTCAAGTTCCACGCAGCGTCTTGCAACAAAGAACAGCATTTGCCTACTTAACTATTCTTGCGTAAAATGTTATTTTCGTTAATTGACACAAAAGAACTTCTCCGATACATATTTAAAAAAAATTGTTGGAACGCAATTATTTAATTGTCACTAATATCTTTTTAACGATACAAATTTGCGAGAGAAAGGGCTCCAGCTCACGATTGGGAAGAGACGACGCTCCCGTTTGGGAACTCAACGCGTAACAACTCGTCTCTATAATCGCCGGTGCATCGCGGCGGCGTCAAAAAGTTCGGCCGTATAAACGCCGTGTTATCAAAGTGCCTCGCTCGGATCCGAAACTTTTCCTCTATCGCCGTGCCGAGAGGAACAGGCGTGAAATATATCTCCGTCGGCTCGACGTCGATCGAACTGGCGGGGAACTCGCCGTCGAGACGTAATTTATTGAAGACGCCGTCGTCGAGCTCACCGCGAACGTATATCGGTGCCTCCGCCGTAAAGCTGCCGCGTCCCCTCGGCTCGAACTCGAGAAGGAAGACGACGCTGCCGCCGGGACGTAAGGTGCACTCGATCGAATCTAGCGTTCTCCTAATCTCCGCGCCGCGAGACCACTCTATGGCGAACGGGCAATCGGCTTTGTTAAATTCCCCGATATTTATCGAGATTGCTATCTCCCTCGGCGTTATCCGGTTCTCTATGAACAATTCTTCGGACAGCTGGTGGCAAAGAACGAGAGAATGAACCGTGATCAAACGTAGGACTGTATTTCTTCTCGTTGAAATAAAAATTTGTAAATGTTGCACATTAAGATGCTTGACTGTCATGTTTAAAATTTCTAAAGTCTACGACAAAAACAGATATTTTATCTGGCTGCATAGAAATCTTTTCGTGTTACAGTATTTTTATACTTCCTTGTTTCGGGTTTCCCCCTTTTAATTTCATGTGCCGTAACTTACTTCGTTAGTCGCGGCGTTGAATCGAAACGAAAGTTTGCTGAAGAAAACAACACGGCCAGCCACGGTACAATCGATGGATACAGTCGGTAGCTTATCAGGCAACGGCGTCATGGTGAAACCCGGCAAATGCGCATAATGTGCTTCATGCGATTTCACAAATTCCGCTGGTCGAATGCTCTTGGGATTCAGCATCGATACCGGGCCGAGCAGCTGATTTACCACGATCGGCAAATAGAAAGCGTAGCTGGCCAAATCGACCGGTTGAAAGTGGAGATAAAGATTTTTACTTGCACCTGGGACGATGGTTATCCCTTCCGTACCTTTTTGTTTATAAATCGCGGTCAAATTACCCGATTCGTTAGACAGAATTCTTAATTTTCGAATTATTAATTGTCAGAGTTAAAAATATATATTTCTTACGGAGAGACTTTGTACTTCATCGCGCACTTTAGGATACTGCCATGTCTGCTTATCTATGCGCAAATTTTTGCTGTTTGCCAGCTTTTCTCTAATTCTTCACGTCTATTTATTATTTTTCCATCGCTTACCTATTTCCGAACTTCTGCCGTCTGCCGACAGAGAGACGTGAAATTCGGGATACTCTTCCAACGAAACTTGCAGTTTCAATAACGTTGTCCCAATATTTGTGGCCGTTATCTGGTGAGTACGAGAGGCATCAACGCTGAGGCGTTTTATGTCTATTCGTTGCGGCAGAAGCTTCAATCGCGGAAATGACACATCGCCATTTATCCTATACAGTAACGGCAGACAACCTTGAATCCCAACGGCAATTACGACAGTGAAGCGACAGCAAACGTCGAACGTGAGGTGTACCTAAGCGATAATAAATATCGTTCGCATATTACAGAGTTTTATCGTCTCGCCCGATAGAGAACGTACCTCGAGAATCGCGATACCGCGCGGAGCTATTTTCCCTCGCAGCGGATTAACGTTACAGCCGCGTATCAGCGACGCGCTATCTATCTCGTACGTCACCTCGTTGAACTCATAGTTTTGAACAACGACGAGCACCCTCGTCGGCAAATTGAGAGGCACTTCCCCGAGATTCGTGTGGTCGCTCGCGAATTCCACCCTCGGCACAAATCGCGATGCGCTAAGTCGCAGGGACGTGCGACTTCCGCTCTCGCACTTCAGGGCCGCTTGAACGTAATTATCCCTCGCGTTATCGGTCTCGTGGTACACGTAAGCGTGCGACGTAGCGTTACCCCGAACGGAACCTGATCTCGGTTCTATATGGAATTTAGACGCCGCTGGCACTTCCCACCTGTAACGAATTCATTGTTCTGCACTGCATTCTAGGCACTCGAGTTATTTTGCAAAGTCCAAGACCTCACGAGAGTAGGCGCTCAAAATAGACGCAATTATTCCCTACAGTCGAGCATCTTAAAAGTCTTCCGCTATTACTGAGCTAACACTTGAGGAAGAAGTGTCATACGTGTAAATCAAACTCGAACATTGATATTAAGTCAACGATCTGCTCAAGAAATCTCTCATTTATTTAGTCTAAATTTTTAATATATATATAGACTTGCTTTCCCAAATGTTCGCTTGTTAGTGTAGTATCTTTTATTTATTTTCTCTGAATTTTTAAATGCACGTAGATCGCTACTCGCTTTCAAATGTGTACTTGCTAGTACATTAAGTTTTATGTATATAATTCTTTCAATCATTTAAAAACTCTTTTTTGAGAATCATCCTTGTTTACACAGACAGAAATACATTTTACCTGAAACGTATTTTCGCATTCAATTTGTTTGTAATTTGGATAACAGAGGCCATTGGTTGATAAACTTCTCCTTTCAACCATTCCTTCCCAAGTTCGATCTCTCTTTTGTCGACATATAATTGCTTTTGAACGACGTGAGCAGTAATATTGAGCTCGAAAGAGTTGTTATCATTAATCGCGTAATTGATATATCCGTTAAACTTGCCAATCCCATTCGCAAAATACTCGATTAGTCTTGTCATTATCGAGTCTGGTTGCAAGATCATTAAGTTACCTTCTGGAAAGTAGATGCACTTGGTTGACAGACTTGTTAATCGAATCATCACTGGAACGTCGTTCGTATTCTTTACAACCAAACGACGGTAGTTGGTGCTGTTCGGTGCTACCTACCAATTACTCGATGTCCACAATTCAAGTCATTCAAACAAGCTTCTATTATTGCTACTGCTCTTGTTCCGACACGCTTAGCATAATTCACGAAATCGATGGAAAATTTTTATGTTTTTACAATGTGAAGCTTTTATAAGTAATTTTAATAAAGAAGTAAATGAAAGAGAAAAAAAACGTTACAAACCAACTTATACATTCCTCTTTTATAATCGGAAGAATTAAAATCTCTTTCTAAGCTAATAAGTTCTCCAACAATTTCTGTGACTTTTTAAACATTGGAGCAATTTTGTGAGTTGTGACATTTTGAATTACCATCCCGAAGGCGAAGGTGGTTGGATAAATGTGGACTTTATATATTTGTAAAGGCGATAAAGGTATCAATACAGCTGCCTTGATTGTCGAAATCGATTTCTCGAGCGGACATCTTACATTTCCCGCAAATCTACTTATTATTTTCGAATAGTTTTTATATAATGGCTTCCACTTGGGTGGGCGTAAGAGGCGTTTCATAATTTCCTCGTCATCATCTATTATTTTTGTTGGTGAACTTTTTTTACCTTCATCGAAAAAACCAAGTCAATTTCCAATTCAGAGAATTCAAATTTTTCTCGATTAAATGATTTAACGTAAGCTTACTTAAAAGTCCTTTCTTGGACTTGAAAATAATATTCACTGTGCACTCAACGAAGTAACTTCCGACTTTTATTCTTCCAAGGCGTCGTCTCGACGCAGTCGAATCGTAAGAATCTGCTGCGACATTGAAGAACAACTTGAAGGAAGATTCAACTGTGAAAATTAATTAGAAGCTGTCTTACTCAATGCTTGGATCAGCTCGATGAAATTTATAAAAGAAAGACTAAAGAGATACAAATAGTTAAGATGTCAACAAAAATAGATAATTCATTTATCTGTTGCAAATAAAAAGTAAAACTTTGTAATAATTACTGTTTTCCTTGCCGCAAACTTTAACAAGAACTTCGATCGACGTTTTCGGCTTAAGTTTCACCCAATTCGGACAACAGCGTGCAGCTGCATTCGGCGCACATTCTAGATATATCGGCGCAACAGCGGAAGGATTTGTTAAGCGAAGTACGCGCTGTGATATCTGGCCGACAATTAAGTCTCCGAAATAGAGGGTATCAGGTTCGAGATGCAATTGTACCGCTTCTACTTCACCGTAAAGACAAAGCTTTAGCACATCGCAGATTCCTGAATCGGTACTTGATGCACAGGACATTAGCATGGATGACATTTCCACCATTGATTCTTCTATTGAAATATTTTACAAATTAGTTAATTTCACACATTATTATCCAAGAATAAAAACTATTCAAAGGATCCAAACGATCCAAACGAAATTATCTAAAGATATCGCTTAAAATTAGCATGAGCTCCGTTTAGTAAATTAATAATTTTTTAAATTTTATTCTATATAGATCATTAGAAAGAAATATCACTCACGTATACAAATTCTTTGTGATGATGCACTATCCGTCGCAATATCCTTTACAGATTCAATCCCTGGAGAAATATTATTTAAATAAAGATTTATTCAGTTGACCTCAATGCAAAATAAACTAAAAGAGACACACTGGTGATATCTTCCGATTCTGTACAATGTACCCTGACTATTCTAATGAATTGCATAAAATCTCTATTCTTCATTCGACTTGGGCATTCATTTTCACATTTTCTCCACTGCTGTTGTTCGCGCTCTTCTCTCTGTTGCAATGTACTTACTGGTGAAAATCTAGAATTATTATTAAGATACCCATCTTTTAACATATAACACATTTATACCGCGTATGATAAATTTTATTCACTATGCAATGATTGGACTCACTTTACTTCACAGATGATGCCTTGGAATGGATTTATTCGCCCTTCAAATGGATGAATTTCAAAAACGCTATAAGTCGGATATTGCCTACGGTCGATGTCCTGCAAAAATAATAAAACTTACTCGTTAGATCAGTTAAAAGAATAAGTCGAACCGAGTGTAAATTAATCATATAAAATCTATGTATCTCGAGAATTCCAAGTTAATTCATCTAGCTGCGCCCGATATTTGTCTTTTGCGTGATACTATTGTAAAAAAGCTTAATATTTCTAAATAAGAATTTTTATATGTTAAATAAACAATTCTACGATTCTCGATTGTTCAAATTTGCCATATTCATTATATCTTTTTGGACAGCGTTCTACAATTTCTAAACACAGATTTTGATCGTTTTAAAACGAGAATGGTAAAATTATTTTAGTAACAATAAGACTACTTTAAGCACGCTTTCGATAATACTGTCTCGATCTACTGGCTAGAATCTGTAATTTATTTGTAAGAACAATTGTCTCGTACCCGAATGCACTTTACTTCATTATCGATCTCACCGAGCACAACATAACTGGAGGTTCGGGATGAAAGGTTACGCAGAACGAAGGTATCGTACCTACAGGTATTTTCTACCGTAGGTGGAAAATCGATGAGCGTGAAATCTCCAGTCGTATTTGGATGATAGACTACCAATTTCGGTATAATGACGTGCACTTTGACGGGAACGCGTATATTTGGGGTAGATTTAACCCTGAGAAAGTTTATACAAATCTGTCTTGCGATGATAAAAATTACGATGACAAACAGCAAGGGTGTCTTACCAAAATTCACTGTAAAAGATGCCTTCATTTGCGCCCATTAATTCGATTTGAAGCTTTACATCTTTTTGCGGTTTGATTCTTCCACGAAGAGGCTTTATCATTAGGTCTAGATCATTTTGCCCGAGATCAATCGAAAATCTAGAAAGTTTTAGAGTTTTACCGAATTATTTTTTTATGAAACGCACTTCTTTATACAATCTTTAAATTCGCCTCTCATTTGAGTAAAATATTAATTATACAAAAAATATAATTACAATCAATCTATATACATACGTACATGTAAATTATTTGCACAATTTGAAATTATCATGTCCTTTTATATAACGCAAGTGAATAAGACAGAAACGACGAGAATCGCTCTTATATTGTTCTAAATAAAGATGAAAAAAAGAAGATACACTGCAATTTTATTTCTGATGCCCGGAAAAGTTCCATGAATAACACGGATACCTGGTACTTTTGCTTCCCTCGTTACGGATTGCTACTAGTTTTAAACCAGACGAATAACCAATGTCGATAGTACCAAAGTCGATTGACTTCGGCTCGATGCTGATGCATTCGGTAGCTAAAGTGGATATCACTCGATAATCGAAAATCTTTCCGTTGATTTCAATCGGAATTATTGCGTGGGATATGGACGTTCTTTTGAACGTGTAGGTCACGTATGTCGTTATACTTAATCCAGGACTCAGCCGTATGCCACTCTTCAAAGCTTTCACTTGAAAAGCCTATCGAAAAGCGTTAGCCATTTGGAAATTATTTATTTTCTAAAATTTTACAATTATAATCCATCTACGTTAGGCATCTTTACTATAGAATTTAGCTGGCGAATTCTGATAAGCGCAGGTTTATACCCGACATTCTTGATAGTGATACGTTGTCGATACGTAACTCCTTCAAAGGCTTCGTTGAATTTTATATGACTCGGTGAGATGTATACGTCATCGTACCTTATGCCTCTTGCTAACTCATCTGTAAGCACTGCGGATTTCTGTATTTCCTGTTCCTCTTGCATTAAAACGATTGACTGTGTGATCTAATATTAACATACAATTAAATCCAAATAATGTTATCGCGGAAAACTGACGTTAAATGTAGAAATTTTATATTTCTTAAATGTTTTTTTATCTGTTCTAAAAAGCTGATCTTGTTTATACGTCCACATTCGTTGGTTTTGTTCATTTTGTTGTGTTCTTGCAAAAACCATGTTATCTGTTTTATTTTATTATACTTACGGTCGTCGTTGAAAGATTCGTCATGCTGACGTATAAGCGCACGGAATGGTAACGCGTTCTATCAAAAAGGGATTTGCGATTAGGTGAATTATTTAAAGACGCGTATATTCAAAATTAATACCTTTATAACTGTAAACCTTATTTCTGTTTTGACATATTGTCAATATGCGTGCAATTGGTGACTGTTTTTTATTCGAGGGAAAATATTCTTTTGTTTTCCCAGAAAGGAAATAAAATATGGGATAATATTAATTAATAGAAACGGCATTTAATATATCGATAGTTGTATCGATAATGTATACAAATAATCTAATTTTTCTAATTATACATATTGGCCTAGTTTACATCGATCACTTGGTACGCGTATCAAATAGTAAATAACTAGTAGTCAGTTTAATCATTGGCTGATCAGCTCAAATACACTACTTGATACGCGTATCAAGTGCACGATGTAAACTAGGCCATTTTAATATACATGTATAATAAATACATTTATGGTTTAGTTTTATTCAAATATATATTACAATTGAAATCGTTTTAGTTTGTGATTCTTTGAAGTCTTTAAACAACAATGTTATCTCTATTCGGTTGTCGATTAAAGTCAGATATGCCGATTATAGGTATGCTCTCGATCACCTCATGAATCCAGTTGGTGTACATAGAAACCTGTGATAAAAAAGATAATATAATCTAGAAGAAAATTCTCTATTATGAGATAGACTGCTAATATGAGATAGCGGGATTTCTGCTAAATTAATTGGCATCATCTGGAGTGAAATTTAGTGGAAAATGAATCGTTAGATCGCGTAATCGTTGCGAAAAAAGATTTGTGATGGAATTTGGACGTCGAAAACCTGCTATCTCATATTAGACGCCCATCTCAAAATAGAGGACTTACTAATATTACAGACAGCGTTTGTTATATTCATTGACACTCATGTTAATATACCTTCGTAAAAACAGCATAGAAGTTTGGATCGCATACGTTGGTATCCAATCTCCGTGGGCTGACGGATACAACTCCGTGAACTTCCCAAACACTAGAATCCGGCCGCTGCAGCACCAAACCGCCGCCACTGTCTCCGTTACATACCCCAGTACCATTCGCCCATCCGGCGCAAAAGGAAGTGTAAGTTACGTATTTTCGAAAATCTCTGTTCTGATTTTGACGACACTCGTCGTCAGAAATGATTTTCATTGTAGTTACCCTCAAGACTGGACTGAACGTGTCGTTCTCCGTCAGTCCCATACCTGAAAAATTCCTTAAATTCTAACAATTGTTCAGAAAATCTACATCTTGTTGCTAAATTACGACATAGTGGTTGACTTGGATTTTTAAGTTTGATTATCAGTGATCTTTAAATTTGTTAAAGACCATTTCCAAACAATGTATGTTATATTAGAAATATTCATGTATTTGCGTGAACTGCGTGAACAATTTTATATATATATTAAGTAGCATGTGTACAAAATAAAATAAGGTGATACGCAGAGTTTATTGAACGTATCACATAAACAATTTAACAGTTGTATTGTGCATACACGACAATCTTGTTTTCCAACTAAAGACATTCACTTTTCTCTTTATTCTCTAACTTTATCAGATTTTTGATGCAAGGTTTAGACTTACCGGCAACTAATCCAAGCCCACCGTTCCGCTGATATTCCAGTAATATTGCATCGGAATGCCAGGGAACGCAAGCTGGTCCGACAACCGAGTTGATAGCCACGGCTCTCTTCAAAATCAGCAACGCGATGTCCGAGCCGTAGTTACTCTCGTGATCTTGATACGCGTTCTGCAGCTCGATGCTCTCCACATCGATCACCTGCGCGTTTTCTCCTACTTGACTCAAGTCACTCGAGAGAATCCCGAAAGCGACGCGCATCGTGTCTGCCGCGGTCTTCCAAACGCAGTGGCCGGCAGTTAACACAACGCGCTCCGCAATCAACGTGCCACCGCAAAAGAATCTCCATTGGCCATCTTCGTGCGAGAAGAGAGTGGCTTGCCACGGCAGCGACTCTTCACCCTCGACACGCCATCCCTTTACGATCAATGCTGCCGCTAAGAGTGTTAACATTTCTTGTGCATAAAAGTTAAATAGATTTAAAAAATTTATATTGGTAAGAAAAATATCTGCACTCATTGTAACGATAAAAGAAGACAAAGGACATTCTAAACTTTCTAAAATTCTCCTGTTTCTTCCAAATACAATACTTCTAACGAAATGGTAGAGCAATTATTAATTAATTCTAAAAGTATGAATTATAATCACATTTTAAAAGTTGTCGGAATTTTATAAGCGCATACACATACACGGAAAGAAAACTGTAGCTGCCGTAGCTAAAAACTGCATGTGGCAACTAAATTTCAGTTGTAAAATATGGATAGCTCATATTCAGTTGATAGCTAAATATTTTACTACTGTGCGACAGCAAGCCGTTTGCTGTGGTTTAGAATTTATAGTTACGGCAGCAAAATATATTTTTAGCAAACCAGGATCAGCCACGGTAGCGAAAAATTTTCTTTCAGCGTATTCATTCAAGAATAATGTTGTCGTTAAAAGTAAGCAGCCCGTCAATTGTCACACCTGTAGAGTCTCTCACCCCGCAGATAGGAGTACAACTCAAAAGCGACTGGCTCCACGTGCCATCGTGAAGGCACATGACGCTGGAAGATCCTTTGCTACGCTCGTAAAATGCCGGGCATTCGAGGAAAACCCGTGTGCCAACCGGGAGGGCTCGATCGCAAGGCAGCCACCCCTTGTGAGGACCCCACATCGCCTCGCATCGTCTAATCGCATCGTGTGCCTCAGACAGTGCCGGGCACGTTATTCCTTCCGTGTCATTTCCTGAAATACGTTACGCACGCAATCGTAAAGAAATTTGTTCGATAGATAAACGAGCTTCATTCCCCTCGCCGATTGTTAAAAGAAGAATTACTTACTGAAGGTACAACTCGGGATACCGGGGAACCACCGATTATGCTGGCAATAAATCTCACTGGCGCCTTGCAGGGAACCCTCGACGTCACAGGCGTAGTCCAGGCGCGTGAGCTCGGGGACAACTTCGCCCGGCCGACACCTGGAGCATCCGCTCACGCTGTAATGGGTCCCCGCTTCTGCGGGGGGCAATCGGCACGCGCCTTCGGGCAACGTTATCCCGCACAGAGACTCGTCCTCGTCGCTCCAGTCGTGACAATTAAGTCGGGTGTTACATTTCAGCTCCGGCCGAATGCATCCGCCGTAGGAGCAGCGGAACCAATTCTCAGGACACCTGTAAGAATAAAGAACAATCAACGACCTGTAGGCCCGGTTTTTCATTTTCTTGTTAGCTGTTAACCGGAGATTAGTCGACTCTCCAGTCTTTTTCTACACTATCATCTAGGGAGAGACAGAGCATCGACGAACTTCTGGTTAACGGTTCACCAGAGAATAAAAAACCGGGCCTTAGAGTTTAATCTCAGTCATTTTCATATAATATATTTTCATACTAAAAACGTTGGAGTACTTTACGCGGAAATTCTCTATTTGTACGAAAACTAAATAATAAAAGGAAATAAAATTCACAATAAAAAGATTTAATTTTTTAATTAAATAGTCGACTCTCTCTCTCTCCTAAAGTTGATTAAAAAATTTGTGATCGAGAAATGAAATTACAGGAGAATTATTCGATCGTGAATTATTCTCGGCATATACGTACTCATACGCTTCGCACAACTTTGTACTTTCATCAGATGCGTCTGCGCAGTGCCGAGTGCCGTCGCACACTTTGGCTAACGGTAGGCACTGCCGTCTGTTCTCGCATGCGAATTCTTGGTCTCTAAAATAAGAAATAAACGATCTGAATCTCAGCCGACAATTGTTAATCGAGAGGAAAGAAATCCGTCAACCAACCGGCACTCGTATTGTGGGCACTCCTGACCTTCGCAATCGACAACCGCGCACGTGCTCGAGTCTTCGTCGGTGCCGTCGACGCAATCCTTAACACCGTCGCAGAGCACTTCCTGGTGGACGCAACCACCGTACGAACAGCGGAACGTGTGCTCGGGACACGTGTATTCGCGGCAGATGGTCGCATTTTCATCGCTCCCGTCCGAACAATCTTTATAGCCTGGTAGGAAAAGAAGATAACACCAAGATAAAAGTTTCCAAGTTCAAACGAGTACGCTTGTCCTTATGTCAGCCCAATTGAACATTAAATCGTTAAAATGAACAACTACGGACCGTTGCACACCTCGGCGATAGGTATGCACTCGTGATAAGCGGCAGAACACTGGAAATCTCTGTCGGAACAAACGTCCTTGGCATCTCGGTCACAAGCGATCTCGTCGCTAGCGTCCACACAATCCGCTAGACCGTCGCATCGCGCCGTGCGACTCACGCAGGCACCGTAATTGCATCTGTACATAGACGTGGGGCATCTGCGAAAAGAAGTTAACAATACAATTCCCTACAATTGTTCGAGCTTATTCTGTTATTTTCTCAGCAGAAAGATATCACGTGTGGGGCTTGATTTGCACACATAAATTAACAAATACACTCGTTTCCCGACTGGCAGATAAAGATACTTTAGACATAGCAGAATACAACATTAGAAAGTGAAATCGAGTATGTGAGAGGTGTTTGAGACTTTTCTCGAGCATAGAACGCAAGCATAGTTAAGTGACGAAAAGCTTTATCTGCGCTTTGATCTTCGTCTCTAGTGCGTTTGCATTTTATCTTCAGTTGGAGGGACATCCGGTCTCTTCGCGACATTCCTCGTTTTAGTGACTAATGGCGAGAGTTAACGGGAAATAGCTTCTTACACAACGTGACGGCACAGTGTTCCGACTTCGTCCGACGAGTCTGGACAATGAGGGATACCATCGCAAACGTTCGCTAATGGCATTACGGTGCCGTCCACGCAAATAAATGTCAATGATGAATACACTTGGCTATTCTCTTCCGTGGTAACGCATATCCTATTAAATCCTGCAAACTCGCGAATATTAATGACCCCGTCACGATTACGTCACTGCACGCGCGTTCACTATGCGTACCCTCTGTGATACGTCGAGATTAAATATCCTCGATTTAATGCAATCACTACGATCAACTTTATTATATGCAAACGTACCGAGGATCATTATCAGTGCTGTAAATGCGATCATCACTACAGAGAAGTGATTATTATTTCTAAAAGTTGTCCTTCTCACAACGCAGAATTGGGCGAGCGTAGCTATCGGCTCTATATATACTCGTAGTTATTTGGCGAATTATTCTGACGCTCGTCCGTGCATAATTTTTATAGCGGTATAGGAAATTGCATATTTTGTTGCACGTTTTGTCCCGGCGCAATAGAACACCGTGTGAATACTGTTTCCCTGCTGTCGAAAACAAAAAGGCCGACTGTAAAGCATTGTGTTACACGTGTCGCCAATATGTAAAAATACGTTTTGTGTCGGTCATTTTCTTTTGGACACTAACGAAAGGATTCGGAATCAGAGTGGAATATGCCCACATCTTGTAAGATTTTACTCTAGTACTTTACGTTTCAAATAAATGCTAGTTGAGTTACAACTTGAACTTCTCTCAATTCTTCGGAATTTTGTTATTGTTCATACTTTGCCGTATACATAGATACATGTGCTTTCAGTTTTAGCCGACCGTCTTTTATTTATTAATCGTTGGAAAGTTATTTGTTAACAATTGTTAGCTAAAAATTTGACTCCTCTGTTCAAATAAATCTTAAGAACGTATATCAATACGTATCTTTTTTTTTTAATCAGAAGTTTCAATAGAATTTGCTTAAATTGAAAAATTAACAAACGTTTCTTCCTCAAAGAAGTATTCGTATTTAGTCATCAATAGGCCGGCTACGTGGAAAGCTATCGTTAGCTGATAAACGAGTAATACGTTATTACATATCTTGGAATATTCGTCACTGGCGACTTGATATTTTTCGTCATGATGTAATTAAAGAAACGTCATGCAAGAAAATATTAAGGGCAGTTATTGAGAACTTGCAGAAAATAAGCTGAAACGATAGATTTAAAAATAAGAACACGGAGATTGACAACGATGTAAATCACACATGTGCGTCACGCATACATAACTACTTAAATTTCCGATTACTGTAACAAGAATTGCACCTAATTCATAATTTATTTAACTGTATGTTTAGTTACAAATATACAAATTTATTTAGAAATTTATGTTACGTTTTTATAAAATTACATGTAGAATTTTAACGGGGAAGAAATCCTACATTTACTCTGAGGTACAGATTGTCCGAAATGGACTTGTAAAAACTATCACGCTGTTTCCACAATCGACGGTTCGCTTCAATAATCCAATCCCCGAAGGATAGGACAACATGGTTACAGAAACGACGATAATAATACAGCGGAATATGTATATACAGGGCGTGTGCGTTCGTTATCGGAGGCTTCTTATCATTCGGTTCGTGTGAAGAGGCACACCTAGTTCCTCTTTTGCTGTCGATGTGGAAAAACGGTTCAATTGCTTCAGTGCGTATCAAACTCTCGCTGGATATTGCCTCCAAATCAGCAATGAGGAATCTCGTTTGGGTACTTTTGTTCGTTGCCGCTGCACGTGCGCAATGTAAGTGTATCTGTTCATCAAAATTATCTGTTTACCATGTTTTAACGAAAGTGTCTATTTATTAAAAAATGTTGATAAATTTGCTGTATTTTCTGCCATGTGCTGGCTTAATATCGATACAAATAATTAAAACATTAAATACATTTAAACGTGCAGGTCCAAGTGCAAAGTTAAAAATGCAGCAGATGTTTAAAATTACGTCACAAATGTTATCATTGTATTATCAAATAATTTAATTAAACTTTTTCTACGAAGTAAGATACTATATTAATACTATTAAATATGTAGTATGAATATTTGATATTTAATATAGAATATATTAAATATTTGTATCAAACTTGTAAATATTATAATTTAGTTTTACTACATTTTTCCGGGAATATTCTATAAATAAAAAATCAATGTATTATAACTTTGCGTATCTTAAGTTTCATATGCCGTGGCAAAGTCCACATTCGTTACGTATTGATAACGAAATCGACCGTATTACTCATATTAGAATTATATAAAAAATATATATAACTTTTTAAACAATTTACATGAACAATATATCATGTATGAGATCATATACAATAGCGTATTACGTTATAATTTTACTACTTATACATTCAAGTTTTTTGAACACACAGACATTTGGTATAGATACAAAGTATATGACACAGTAAATAGTAACAAGACATAATATGTTAATAATATTATGTCTTGTAATAACACGGCAGATATGTGGTAATCGATACATGAAAAAGCTAAGAAAGAAATCAAAAGTTTATGTATCTTTAAATATGAAAAAGTTACAAATATATAATTTTAAATAAGATTTTTAAAAAGAATACGTTTTAAGAAGATAAAACATCTTATATAAGAATGATAAGTTTAAAAAATTCGTATCCGATGGATACGTTTTTCGCGTTCAGTTAAGATGTGCGAACATTTAAAGCACGATAAATTTTTGAGAAGTTTGAGTCAGCAATTTATGATAACGCTTACTCTTTGCGTTATTAGACATTATCAAGCATCAGATAAACAGATATCTTGACAGTGCAATCAAATTAGTTGATTGCAATTGACGTAACATATTCTTACCGATATAAAATATGTTACAGTTATTATTTTACGTTATAGATGTTATATAAACCGATACGGTATTATATATAACATCTAGACAATGTATGTGCTTAAAAGAATTGATATACCAGCATCGCTATAAAATTAATCTGCGGACTTCAAATGTTTACAGCTTACCTGCTGTCTTTTTATATTATATAAAACTTTTCGGGAAGCTTATTAAATCTTTATGAATCTTAGTAAGTACGTCATAAACGGACAAAATTAAACTTGAATCCGGTAAGCGCCCGACTCCCGAGAGCGCCGGAATCCCATGAGATTAAATTCGAGATAATGATAACAACTCTACGAATTATCTTAATTAAAGAGAACTTACTTGAGAAATATACTTGAACCAAATTATTGATAAGACATATGTTAAGCATCGAAAATATGAAATACTACAAAATAAAGAACAATTCAACGATTATTATATTTTCCTCATTATATTGGTTAATTATCTAGTTAAATTATCTAATTAAGTTATCTGCTTCGCTTTCATTTATAGTTCTCATATTTTAATCGTTTCTATGAACGAGATTATCGGAAACTGATCAATCTCGTTGGTAACTGAAGCGATCAATTCGCAATTTTTCAGACAAATTCTGCGCACCTATCGACGTTGTAAACGATAATACATGTCTCGCTCTGCAAAAAGGAGACAGCGAAGTGTCGTGTTTGCGCGTAGCAGACAGTGCCGAGTGCTCTATTCGCTTAGCTGAAGGCGAGGCTCATTTCGGTGTCTTTACTGCGGAAGAATTGTTGTTAGCATATCAATTCTATCCATTGAAAATCCAACCGATTCTTCAACTGAGGCACAATGATAAGCAACTAGGTAAACGAAAACTTAAAAATTAATTTATGTAATGAGATTATTACTTTTTAGGTACGAAGCCGTTAAATATACATAGGCAAGGTAGAAGCGTCTTGGATTTAATTTGTAATAAATAAAACAAATTAAGATTAATAGTAAAAACAAAATTACCAGAGATCACAATGCGCAAAGAGTTTTATCGAGTTGCAAAATTAATTCAAATCCAAGCACAATACTTGTAATAAATATTACTTAAATATTCTTGAAATATGACTTTTTCTAGAATTAACAATCTACTCTGAAACTGACTAAAAATCAAAGCCAAAAATCTTTTAATTGCATTTCTGAATAATTTTTGTACTATTGAGGATTAAATTGAATACTAAAATTAATATTACAATAAACGATATTTTCTTAATCATTGAAGGCAAAAATCTAAGTTCGGTTATATTGTTATTGAATGTCTTAATGAAGAAATACGTGTGGAAATATAAATTAATTTTCACAGAGGAATATGAATTCCAAACGGTGGCAGTGATCCGCGCAGATTTAACGCAGGCAAGCTTACCCCCTGGCGAACGTCTCAAACGTTTGAGAAATAGTGGCTTTTGCCATCCTGGTTTCAGCAAATCTCAGTGGTGGAATGATTATATTCTCAAATTTTTCGAGAATTCCGTGAATCCCGTGCGATGTCAAGATGATGTAACCGTTATCGAGAACGAGGTCAGAAATCTTAGAAATTTCTTCGGAACAGCTTGTAGACCAGGCGACTGGGCTGCTGACAGCACCGTTGATCAGGAACTCAGTAAGTCCGTTCACATTAATTGTAACTTATTTTGTTACAATAATTATATCAATTATCTATTACACATTTTTACTTACAAAAGAAAAAAAAACTTAAAGACATTTTCAAGGTAATATAAATTCAAGAGTAAGACTTGCGCTGCTGCCAAAAAATGTATAATTAATAAATGATGTAATATTTTTCAGAGAAAAAATATCCAGAACTGTGTGCTCTTTGTGACAACAAGGCAGAGTGCAAATATAATACTAAGCAGCACCATGGACATATCGGAGCTTTGCAATGTCTAGAACGTGGTAATGGTAAAGTGGCATACGTAGCGCTTAACTACGTTCAGGAGTACTTCAAAGTGAGCAAAATGTTGCCATCTTAAGATACGGTTATAGTCCTACAATCCTAATTCCTACAATCACTATATATAAGTTATTATTCATACTGATGATTCTTTTATTCTATTATATTTATGTAATTCTTAATATGCTATTATATTCTTTCCCATGTGTTTCAGAGGAATGAGTCGTATCAGTTTTTATGTCCAAGTGGCACTGTTCTTCCTTTATCCACCGATAATCCTTGCGCGTGGCTCAAACAACCGTGGAGTGTCATCGCATCTAGAAAGTAAGCAAACATCAACGAAGATAAATCAACTTTTCCTTTACTTCCCGCAAATGTATTCTAAAAATCTCACAAATTATTTAAGTCTCTTTTTCGAATATATCTTGATTATAATATCTACTCTTTTTAGAGATATCGCAGATACGCTTAAACCTACATTGTTGCATGGACTGAAACATCCGAACACGCCAGAATGGAAAGCTTTAAGCAGTGTCATACAAGTGGACAGCCAGGTTTACGATATAGTAGAGAAACCATCTATATCTTCGTACTTGAGCAAGGGAAGAGACATCGATATTGGAAACATTCAAACTTGCGGCAAACGCATTCGTTGGTGCACAATTGGCGATCTGGAGACCAACAAGTGCAAGTGGGTGGCAAAAGCAGCGAAGACTCTTGGTGTGGCACCGAGCATCTCTTGCCTCAAGTCAACTTCCACGTTTCAATGTTTACGCAATATAGAAGAAAATCATACAGATATAATGGTCATTGATTCCAATTACGGCTACCTGGCGCGAACGTAAGCAGAAAATTTGTAATATCGACGAGACTTTCAAGAAATAACTTTGAAGGCTTGAAAACGTCTACGTACGTAAAAAATTACGGTATTAATTACTTGACGTTTGTTTCGCTTTTATTGTGCTTGCAGAGTTTATGGCCTGTCAACTATTCTGTACAGCGAAACTGAAATAGAGAAGAATAGTATAACACTCGCGGTGGTACGTGAGCCTAGAGACGAAAATTACCCCATAAAGAGCTTTCAGGATATAAGAGGCAAAAAGGCATGCTTCCCCGAATACGGCGGACTCAGCTGGTTGAGTTTTATCTATGCCGCTAGAATAAACAACCTTATTTCATCTAAATCCTGCGACTACCCATCGTTGGTGTCCAAACTACTGTCCGGTGCTTGTACCCCCGGAATCGAAGACTCCGACCACTCGCGCACCGCTGTCTCCCCGGATATAGCGTCCAAACTTTGCTCGATTTGCAAGCATCAAAATGATACAAACGTGCAAACCTGCGCGGTAAACGAAACCAATCGCTATTACAGTGACACAGGAGCCTTGCGATGTATCCTCGAAGGAACTGGTGACATATCATTCATCGAGAAGGCAAACGTTATCAATGGTAAAAGAAACAATCAACATTATTATAGACATATGAAAACTCAAGAAAACGTCTATTAATGCTTTTAATTTTAAAGATCGGTTTTTTTACAGAATGTGTCCTTAACTTTCTAATTTTTCAAACATCACTGGACAAATTTTTCTTTAAGTTTATTTGTATAATATTAATTTTTGTAACTTTTCTCACACACGTGATTATGGAAAATATCTTTATCTTAAATTTAAACGTGCCGTTCCTAACAATTTTTTATCTAATAATTATTATACAGATGTCACCTTCGATATAAATATGTACCGTGTTTTGTGCAAAAATGGAAGTTTGGCCCAGAACACAGGGTTTAATGTTGACGAGATCTGTGCACTATCAGTGACAATCGACAGCGAGGTAAATAGCTTTCTTAGAAATTAGTTAATCTTTAGATTAATCTATCGATTCGTTACAAACAACTTATGCCGTCGCATTTAATTAAGAAATTTAACATTTCTGTTAAAAATTCCTGATACTTTTAATTCAGTAATTGTATTGTTTGATCAGTAACTGAATGCAAAAGACTTATTTACACGAAAACAATGAAAACTACGCTGGAACGAAAGCAAATGTGTCAGCTTTGAAACGTAAAAAAAAAGCTAATATAATGCAAGCATTAATATTTGACACTTCTTTGAACAAATCGAATAAATTGCAATATTCCTCCAGGTCATTGGCCGTAAGAAGGATGCCATGCAAATCTCTAGGACCGATACTACCCTGGCCTTATTAAAGTTGGAAGATTGGCTGGGATATCGCGTAAACGCTCGCAGGCCAATTCACATTTACGGACCATTCAACGACACGAGAGATCTCCTCTTCAAAGATTCCTCGTCGGGCTTGGTTTCCACATCGTCGATGAAGAAGACGGTGCTTGCCTACAAAGAACTGTTCAGTCACGTCGAGTCGTGCACGGATGGTTCTTTCGCGATCACCGCTAATTTCATTTTTGTAGCCCTAGTCGCACTTTATCACCTTCTTTCCAGTCACGTACGCTAATTTCCTCTCCGCGTGGTTAATTCCAACATTCACAATATTTACGTAATGCACGATTGTCATATGTACTTTTAAATGTAATCTCTAAGCGTTGACTAACTTTTATACCTTCTTTTTCACAGAATAAAAGCACCACCTTCATTTCTTTATTTTGGAGATTAGAATAAAACAACTATTATTACTTTTTTATTCACTGAATGTATATTTGTGTCATTTAATCCTTTTACAGTTCCTTGTTTTGCAGATTTTCTTTAGACCGTTATTTAGCAGCGTAGACTAGTGTCATAATTAAATTTGTTAAGTGTTATTTAATTTTATTAAATGGTACAAAATTTTGGTAGTTTTCTTTTGATAACTCTCGCTTTGTAGGTGATCCACCGTAAAAGATTGACAAAATTTTATGTATCAAATGTTGTGAATAATAATTCATATAAATTACCTTTAAATTAAATTTTACGATTTTATAGCTTTACAATTTTAAAATAGCATTATGTGAGTATTGTTATACATATATGTATACGTACATTGGTGTGCATCTAACGTTTCAAATATCTTTCTCGGCTTTTAAATATCTTTCGATGCAACTTTTCGTTTAATTTGATTAATTATTAAATTATTAATTTGTAAGATACGTAAATTTTCTAAATTTACATATTTTATAAAAATACAAGAAATTAATTTAACTTTCTAACTTACTTGTAACGAAGTCACACTTACGGCTATTTCTTTCTGGCAATTCCGTTACTTTCTCTCCATCTGTAATTGTAACTTAACTCAGTTACATTTTTAACGAAAAAACTGTAACTATAGCTAGATACTTTTATAAAGTAACTTCCCCACCTGTAAATCAATTTATAATTTTAATTCGCGTGTCCACAGACGCATACAAAGTATCAATTTGTGATACTTGGAATGTAGAATACTATTCCTCGTACCAGAAATGTCTTCTGCTGGCAAAACTTTAATGATATTTTTTAATAAAGGGGAAAGCCAAAACTAGCAAATGAGCGCCAGTTTCAATTAACATAAATTCGTACCTCCACGTAGTTGGTATTTGGAAAGCGTGTCGTCAGATGTCGCCACCAACGACTAAACGCACACAGACCGAGGGTTCCGTTCCGACTTCCGTTCTAGTTTAGGCTCTAGTAGCTTGGTGAAGGTCCATTTTGATTTGGTTGACGTGCTCTAGTCGTTGGATCAAAGTGAACAGAATTTACGGCCAGAGATGGAAACGATATTGGAGCAGCAACGACGGTATCACGAGGAAAGGGAGCGGTTGATGGACGCGATGGTGAAGGAGATGTTGCACAAGAAGGCGGGACATCGCGAGAACATCAACTCGGAGCATCGCTTGAAAATGCTACTGGACCAGTTCATGGACAGTACAATGCATCTGCAGGACTTGTACGAGGACAAGGACGGGCAGAGAAAGGAGGAGGTACGTTGACGTTAGATATAGCGGGTTGAAAACACGTTGATTCAATTTGTCCATCACTAACCTTCCCGACGACTGGCTCCACGGATTCTGGCGTGTTTCTACTTCGTAGCTTATCGTTTGCAGGTTCAAGCGCTCTCTGGCCCGAACGAATTCTCCGAATTTTACTCGCGCTTGAAGTCCATAAAGGAATTCTATCGGCGGCATCCTAACGAGATCAGCGTGCCCATGTCCGTCGAATTCGAGGAGCTGGCCAAGATGAGAGAGAACCCAACCGAGGAGCTGTCCAATCTCGTCGAGTTCACGGACGAGGAAGGTTACGGCAAGTACCTTGATCTACACGAGTGTTATCAGAAGTACATCAACCTTAAGGGCATCGAAAAGATCGATTATATAACCTATCTGTCGACTTTCGACCACCTATTCGACATTCCTAGAGAGAGAAAGAACGCAGAGTATCAGAGGTACGTCGAGTCCCTTTTAGGGTACCTGACAGAGTATCTGAACAGAATAAGGCCTCTGCTCGACATAAGCACAGAGATTGAGGACGCCAACAAGGATTTTCTGGCTCAGTGGGAGAAGAACACTTTTCCAGGCTGGCCTAAGGAAACTGGTAGCGCTCTGACTCACGTAGGCGCGCACTTGGAGCTGTCCGCGTTCTCGTCGTGGGAGGAGTTGGCGTCTCTCGGATTGGACAGATTAAAGTCGGCTTTGATGGCGTTAGGGCTCAAGTGCGGAGGTACGCTCGAGGAACGGGCGCAGAGACTTTTCAGTACAAAGGGCGAAGCCTCCCTGGATCCCAGTTTATTAGCCAAGAATCGAAAGGGCAAGTCGGCTAAGAACAAAGATTCCGAGAAACAGAAGGAGATTGCGCGACTCGAGGCCCACGTGTACAAGCTTGCTGAACTAGTGTCCAGCCAACGAGTGGCCACCAAGGAAAACGTGCAAAGGAAACAAGCGAGAACCGAAGGCGAGAGGGGAGATTCCGACGCGGAAGCAAGTGCGAGCGAATCGGAAGAGGAGGACGATAACGAGGTGCCCTACAACCCGAAGAATTTACCTCTGGGCTGGGACGGAAAGCCCATACCCTACTGGCTGTACAAGCTGCACGGTTTAAATATCAGTTACAACTGCGAGATTTGTGGTAACTTCACTTACAAAGGCCCGAAGGCATTCCAGAGGCACTTTGCGGAGTGGAGACACGCGCACGGCATGCGTTGTCTTGGCATTCCGAACACAGCGCACTTTGCGAATGTCACTCAAATTGAAGACGCCCTTGCGCTGTGGGAGAAGCTCAAGGCTCAGAAACAGGCCGAACGTTGGCAGCCGGAACAGGAAGAAGAATTCGAGGATTCGCTTGGCAATGTAGTCAATCGTAAAACATATGAAGATCTCAAGAGACAAGGTCTACTCTAAATTGTACATCTCAGTCGCATTTTACTGTGTACACTTTAATTATCATATATATCGCTCTTTTTTTTTATAATTCCATTTGTCTATTAAAGCGTTTTCACCAGTGAAATGATTTCCCATCCAATTGTCTTGAAATTTGTTAAATTACTTTAGTACCTTGGTATACAGCCAAAGAGCAATATTATTTACATGCATATGCTTGTATATGCATAGAGAGAAATTTTATTTCAGACGATCATTTCTGAGGTTATTTTGAATAAAAAGAGATGTAAATAAAAATAAGATTTTTATAGATTTAAAGTCATTTAAGATTAAAAAGCTATTCCCCTGAACAGTCAAAGTGGAATTCATATTTGTTTAGATATAAGATTATTTATTTTATAAAAAATAAAAATGTAAAAATTCTCAGAAATGATGTACATTTCCGCTTTTCAGTACATCCATCACATATACGAGCCACATTTCTGTTTTGGACTAGAGTGCTTTCGATTTATCTACGTCCAAACTTTAAAATATAGTAATATATCTTATCGATTCCATTAGATGAATTGTGTTTAAATTGGTTTAAGTACGTTTAAGAGATACCTAACGTTATATCCAAGCGTTCTGCTTGCATTCAATAAAAGTACATTTTCAAGTCCATGATTATAGACAATATAATTCGTATTAGACTTCAAGGTAGAACACTATATTTATATAATTTTATTTACTACATTTTATGTGTGAATGCGTGTGTGTATATGTGTATTTCCTATACATGTGTATTGTGATTTTTCAAAAGTTCTTCACGTTATAGGGTACGTATAAAATTATAAATAGAATTCCGTTGCAAATTATAGATCGTCGAAAGTGGGCTGCAATGTAAAAAAAATATCTACTTAGATATATTAAAAGCTTGGGAACTTATATTGAGCTTGAAAATAATTATGTTGTAAAAACGGATAACTCATGCAAATTGTTTTGCTTTTGTGCTAAATTTTTCACTATACTATTAGAAGCATATTTTATTAAAACTCGGCTGTTCAATGTTCGTCTCTAATCGATAACTTTGTAACTACCGTTATTTACTTTGATAAAAATAAACGTGGCCCAAACGAAAAGCACATTTCCGAACTTTGTTCTCATAGTGCATGGATTGTGATTCTTATTTTTCATTATTTGTTATAATAATTTGTTAAAAATTCTACTGAAATAATAAATAACAAATAATACAACTTTTATATTCCAAAACTTAAATTAAATTGCCAGTAATAGAGTAAAGTTCCCTATTATGAGATAAACTGCTAATATGAGATAGCGGGATTTCTGCTAAATTAATTTGCATCACCTGTTGGTTCCACCATAAATTTATTCCCCTTGGAGTGAAATCTGTTTAGTGTAAAATTGATTGTTAGATCGTGTAATCGTTGCGAAAAAAAGATTTGTGATTGAATTTGGACGTTGAAAACCTGCTATCTCACATTAGGATCCCATCTTATAATAGAGGTCTTTCCTTATAAATCTTTCATACTCTAGGCACTCGATAAAAAAATTATGCCACAAAATTGCAAAAGCTCGGATTCTTTCCTTCTATAAAATATTAATAGATAGAATCCGACAGTCGCGACAGTTACCTTACCTGCTTTTTCTTCTTACTTTCATATTTCTTATCTTTAATTACAAAGACAAGGTCCGTGTGTATAGATATAGAATACTTAATAAATCTTATATTTGTTCTCTGTACCAGATAATATCGCGACGTTAGCGAATATTACATATGGAAGGAAGGAAACATTTAACATACATAAAAGCACATTAATTGTATGTGTCATCACACATCCATTTACTATTCCAAAAACACTTTGGTATCTCGCTGGGCCGCGGCGCGTAATACTGATGTGATCTGTCGTTTAATTAGTCAGGCAGGAAGTACATTGTTCCGGGTTTTCTGTTTACACTGGACAATCAAGATTTTCATAAGGTACACGCATAGAATTAAATATTTTTAGGCGTGCACTCTGAATAACATTTTACCCCGGCACCAAGTTCCTTCGTGTAACGTTCAGAATAAACGGAATTTCACAGACTAGTTCTTCTCATGCCGGTTATACAATCACAAAAGTTCGTACGCTGAATCGTGCGTATCATCGTTCACATTTCACAAGTAAGGTTCCTTTGGATTGCGTCTCGCATTGTTAAATCTTTATACACGATATCCTTTTCGAGTCCATGCAAATTGGAAATGCAAAACGATTGTAAGATTCTCAGTCTACAGTTATTGTTAAAATTTCGTCACTCTAAGCAACAGCTTGGTACCGCTCGACGCTTTTACGTTCCGTTGACTGAAAATTTCTCATCGATATGTGTCTACGTACGTAACACAAGATGTATGTACATTCTTTCAGTTTATACGTTGGCTTTCTTCAATGCAAACTTCGCTACAGAATTGCTAACTGTTAAATTACTGATTATTAATGTCAGTCTCTACTCCATTCTATTGAATCTTTTGGCAAACTGAATTTGCGAATACTGACCTGTAGAAGAGTTCTACGAAAAAGTTTCATGAGATCTCGCATAAAAATATTGTATTCATGTTGTTATCGTTATATCGTAGAAATATTTCTAATCTCCGAAGTTACTTCCTTAATTTAACCAATGAATTATTCGGATGAGATACGAATAAAAGATTTCTATAATCAGCTCATCACTAGAATGCCAAAAGTACACGTACACGTGTACACTCATCGTACTGCACTTGGGGATATTTCTCCAAGTCGTCAATTTGTTTCTAATAATCAATTTAGTTGGTTTCACTATTCCAGACTAATGCGTACTATACAGGCTACTGTTTTATTCGTGATATATAAGTGCAACGGCAGAACGTAAGTGTTTTCAAATAGTCGACATTTTCTGCTAAATAATATAACGATTTATTGGATATCAGCGAAAATAAACTTACGTTATATTTTTTCACTTACCAAGAAACACGCGCAATTTTGTCTCTCGCCACTTTCCTCTTTCTCTCTCATTATCGCTTCCGAGAGTTTTTTTACATATAGTTGGATTTAAATAAGTTTTAACTTTGTCATAAAAATGATTTAAACGGCCGGCGGGGTATTTCGAGAGATATAATATTCTCAAACGATTTGGAATACGTCTTCAAAAAGTGTGCCTGTGAAAGTGCAAAACTTATGTTTAAAATTTTTTTTTTCACATTTACTATTTCGACAAAAAGAGTCAATCCTTTTGCTTCATCCCTTCAACGCGTAAGAGAACACACGTCTCTTATGTTTTAATCTACGTTATCACATGTTTATGTATGTTCCTTTGTTTTAGAATTTAGATAATTATGTGCCTTTCAGTGCGCATCAGTGTGGAGTAATCCGACCGAATTCGCTATAAGGCCCACAGCTTGCATGCGTACGCGCTTTGTATGCGGCCGATGGAATGGAATTTCGCTCTATACGAAATGCTTCGGATACACTCGTTAAGCGACGCCAATCGCTGGACGAGGAGGGACGGATGTCTTGCGATAGTTACTTTAGCTAATAGCTCCTGGCTCATTATTGCAGCCATATTGCATTATGACATCAGACGCGAGAGATCACGCTTATGATATGACCATACTATACATCACATTCATAGAAGCGATTTATTCTCGCAACGTACATTGGAATAAATTAGTCTCTTTACACCATGCTACTATTTGTACTCAATAGAATAAACTTAGAGGATAATAAAATAAGCTAAAATGTCGGAATCTCTTCTCAATTCAAGAGATATTAATAGCTGTAAAACCTAATCGTAATTACGAGGCCTATTTTTGTTATAAAAATATTGAGTATACATTCAGATTGAATTGCATAATTTATTGATTCTCGCCTGACGAACACTCTATCTCATCTCTGTTGAATATTAACTCGTCTCTCCCCTGACTGCACCTAAGCGCATCCCTTGATATCTTAACACGAGGGAAGGATAAAATAAACGCTTTGACATCTAACGCTTTGACCGTTCAACAGAGAGTGATCTGAGCAAGCCCGGCATCCGCTAGACGAGAGATTAACGAAGAAGGGGACCAAGAGCGGAGTCTTATGCACTTTTTTCCATCTTACGAAAGATGAGAGTGAGGAGCATTCGAAAAAAAAACTAATTTATTTCGATGAATAGTGCAAGAGAAAGATATTTTTTCGCTTTAGACGTCATAACTCAATATAGTTAACAGTAAGCTCAGAAGTCTTACATATTAGCGGTATTCTCCGAGGTGCGACAGTATGATGTCAACGAAGCGTCTTCGATAGAGTAATCGAGTCGAGGAGGAAGAGACTTAGGCACGATAGGTCGCACGTTGTCGGAGTTGCGGGAGATGCTGGGGAGGTTTTTCCCCCTGTCCCTTATTCGACGCTGTCTACGACCGCGCTGTCGTCCAAAGTGTGAAGCCAATTAAAGATCATCATGTTCCTTTCATACTTGGACAGCTGATTTCCGCGTTCTCTCTCGACGTCCCGCACTGTCAGCGCGTGATTCCGCTCCTTCCGTCCGATCAAGGAAGCACCAGGAACCCCGGCGGTCGTGCCGGGCACCAGCAAAGTGGCTCCGTGGGAGCTTTGCGCCGCGGTGGCCGCCGCTTCCAGCTGGTCTAGATTAAATTCGCTCTGCGAGAGGCGCTCCAAAGCGCGGTACGTGGTTAGTAGCCTAATGGAACATGAATGGAACACTCGAATTCTGTCTGTTTTATAATGAAACTTGAAACGGAACGCGACTCGAAGAGGAAAGACTGGATCGGCTACTGACCTTCGTCGTATGTAGTTCTGTCGGACTTTCTTATTGACGGACCTGACGAGGTCCGCTCCAGTGAAGGGCACGGGTGGTGGTGGCGGCGGTGCCGGTGGTTGCGGTGGTAGTTGCGGCACCGATTGAGCATTCGAAGAAGACTGCTGCGACTGGAGCTGCTGCGACTGCGACTGCTGCTGAGGCTGCTGTTCCTGCGCGGCTCCGCCGTGCGGGCTGGGAAGCTGGGACGTGCTGGCCACGGGCTCGCCCACGGCGACCCAGGTGCTGCAGGACCTCGAAGCGTGGTCGAGTCTGCAGGACTCCAGCAGCAGGGTGTTGCGCTGGGCAGTGTCGAGGGCCAGCGCGGACACCGCCGTTCGTAGGCCACCGGCCCCGGCCGCGTCCGGGCTGGGAAGCTGCGACACGTCGCTCGTGCTGAAGCTCTTGCGCAGTCCCAATGCTGACGATAGAACGCCGCAGCTGCGGATCAGTTCGTTCTCCTCCTCGAACCATAAAATCTCGGGAATGTCCGCCGGCCTATGGACAAGTGCATAATATCAACCAAATAAAATGAAAGGTCAATGTGAGATAGCCGTATCTCTTTATCGCGCACGATAGCGATTATACGAACCTGTTACCCTGAATCTGTCGGGAGTCCGGTTTCGGTGAGGGCCCCCGGCCGGTGAGTTGCGCGTCGCTGTAGGACTTGAAAGTGACCAACCTGTTGGCGCTGCGCAGATCGCTGGCGATCGACGACACGCTGAAGAGCGACAGATCGGTGGTAACGCTCTCGTGACTCGGCGAGCGCAGCATCCGCGAGGTGACCTGCAAGGCTGGGCATTGCATGGTCCCCAGACCACCGCCGCCTCCTCCGCCGCCGCCACCGCTATCACCACCGCTGTCGTTGCTGCAGCATTGCGCGCACATCACCGTGGGTATCGGCGAGGCCGACTTCGTCTCATTTTCGGACATTTTGCACTCGTTCGCACTCGACGTCCGTTTTTCTATCTACGTATCTTCCTTTCCGTCGCACGTTCCAATGTCTTCCGCTGCGGCCCCAGCTTACCTCATACCGAACGTCCGACGCTTCTTCTCCGTTTCCAGAGTAACAACTGTGACACACAGACAGCTTAGAGATAAAGACGACAAAAGTCCAGAATAAGGAAAAATTCATTTTTAAACCGAAACCTTTCCAAGAGCCACTTAAAGCTTCTATTCTATTATGGCGGCCATGTTTGATTCATAACGTTGGAAGGAGTCCTATTAATCTGATATCGCGTGTAAGTGGGGACAATGATTTTTTTAGCATATGATGAAATACATCAAATATACCGAAGACTCCCCTATTTTAGTATTCTCTCATCATTAAATAGCCACATCTATACTCCATAAAAATTGACCTCATAACATGTTGTTGCCTAAAATAAGTTACAGTACTTATTATTGAGCCCATTTCATCAATCGGATTCGACGTGCGACAGTAAAAACTTATTTCGATACAGGCACGCTATAAATATGAATTGTACGACTTTTCGCTCCCACGTCATAATTTAATATGCAGTGACCAGACGGGAGGGTCAGCTAGAAACGTGTGCGGTTTTTGCAGGACGCGAGTCTACTATTATTACAGCTTTATTTTAATGAAATATGCAAGTATAAAAGAGTAAATTTATTTATAGCTGAGAGGATAATTATGGCGCGAGACCGTAATGTTAATAGACATTATAGATTACACATGGTACCACATGTTGCGGATTAGCGTATAGATGGCGAAACTATTATCTAATCGCGAGTCTTGGATCTAATCTATAGAACTGTAATGCGCAGGTAAAGATGCTAAAACGCCCTGCAACGCCGTCACACCACGTGTAGGCGTGGTGAAGTGCACACCGTCTCGTGATGTATACGCCTGATATGACATGTCCGATATCAGAGAAAGTGAAAGCACGTTTTGTATCACGACACTAAATAACTTTTATCGAAGCCAGAATATCATACAACGAAAGGTATCAGTACGTCTCGATGTGCAACTATCGAAATTATCATTTTTCTAAACACCCAGTGAGAAATGATTCGTCGATCGACACCGTCGAATTGACGTCGATTCGACATCATTTCAACGTCAATCGACGAATCATTTCTCACTGGGCAGTCTCAAATCCCATCAAGAATTATCTGACGCCAGCAAATGACTAACAATGAACAAACTTCTAATCGGCCATGACTGGCGATGCGTTTTTTAACACAGAAAATTTATTGCGAAAAATATTACCTCAGCCGCCTAGAGTGTAGGGAGGTCCAGGTTCAAACCCCGGCTGAGGTAATATTCTTCGCAATAAATTTTCTGCGTTAAAAACACATCGTCAGTCATGGTCGATTAGCTTGATCATTGTTAATCTCAAAATTCCATGCAGCACGCATGTCTAAAAGACATCTTAGAGTGTCGTTTGGGATGAAATGTACAGCGATTGTGCAGTAGACAGACGGCAAGACGCTCCATTTTCTACGAATGGGCTGTCGAATGGGCTTCAACCTTCTTGAGATGATATTCGAGCTGTAGTTATTAAAATGTCCAATATTGAGGAAGCGCAACAGATAGACTTTTTTCTGAGGGACAATTCACAAATGTTTTAAAGGATATGCCAATGAAATTAGTTCCTCATGTAACAAACACGTTAAGAAGATTCTAAAAACTCGACATTTAACTCGACGATAAATACACGACACGTATGAATTTTAGTATTCTACTATTCCCCTCCCCCTTTTTCTCCCTCTTTCCGTGCCTATCTATTTCTATCTCTATCTCAGAATCGATTAACTATAACCAGGGCTAACTTTTTTTTTCTCCCCTTTCTATGTCGTAGAAATGAACGGTTTCTAAGTTGAAGCTAGCTGAGAATTAAGCATCGTCGCAACTCGTGTATAGACATCAACATATGTAGCTACGTAATCGATAATTATGTATTCCCCCGAAGTCAAGGTTCAGGAACTTTTTCCAAGATTGATACTTCGATCTGCACCTTCATCAGCCAGATATCGACTTTCGCGGTCACTTAGTGGGTCGCGCGTGTCACCCAGCGAGCAAATCGAATAAATTATCATACGTTTTCTAATAAGCAAATCTCTCTCTAATATCATCTTTGAGTAAGGACACTTGGAACGTTACTGACCTTTGTGTGTTAGAAACGTACTGTAGAAGAATAGAAAAGAATAATGTATGAAAGATGTATGTGGCTATAAAGGGTATGTGGCTTGAAATATTGAAAATATCCGATGTTTCTAATGTAAGAAACATTACGGGAGAAATGTCATTTTTAACGAACGCAAAACTGAAGGAAAAAAAACACTTTTCATCATGATGTACGACTATCGGAAATATTCGTATTTGCGCGAGTGTGTTCAAATGTACTTTCTATTAAATCAATTATACTCTCCATTGTATAAATGTCACGGATTTTAGAAACGAAATGCACACCCCTCAACCTCTGCCGACTTAACGCGGGTCCTCTCGTGCTCTTCGAAAACCCCCGTTTCGCTTTTAAAATCAATTTCCCCATCGCGCGACCATTTTTCCATAGAAATATGCACGTAATTGTACTCGACTCGACTCGCCTCCGCAGCGGTTTCCTGTAAACTAGGCATAATCATACGAGCTAACTGTTATTGTAGCGCAACTACGCGTCACGAGTTACGCTAATTAAACGGTGCTACAGGCAGCGTGTGCCGTTCAGCCAATTTGTATCAACCGCGTCGGGGAGTCGCGGCGTATCTTCTCGGGGGACCTGATTGCCATCGCGATTGCAATGCGCCGCTGAAAAAGCGTCGTCGTCGTCGGCGGCGGATGGGAGAGCACCCGATAACGAAGCGAGGAACCGGCGCGGTTCTATAAATACGCACGAATATTCACCACTCTCGGCGCACCTAATGTACCTCGCGCCGTCGGCCACATGACGACGTGCCTCGCCGTGCCGAGGATGCCGCCGTCGCGAACGGCGTGTCTGTCAGCCGGCTGTGCGCGGCTCGGCGGAGCCGCGGAGGAAGAAGCCGCTCTCGCGCGGCAGGAACGCGCGAGGGCGATGAGCGGTGCCACGGAAACGCCGGCTGGAGCACGGCACGTCAAGGGGACCGACGAACCACTGTCAACACTCGCACCGTTCCCGTGCGCGCCACGTCGAGCGCCGAGAGCCACGTCGAAGAGACGACGCGATTGTTTCCCCTGGGTTCTACGGTCGTCGATCGTGGCTCGGGCTCGCTCACTGCACAGGCGTCGCTATCGATCGATAGCCGTGCTCTCCTCTAGTTTCGCCGCACCCCACGCGATTCGGACCTCCTCTCGCTACCGTGAGCTAACGGCCGCATCCCTTCCTTCATCCCTTATCAGCGTCGCGTGGGACACGCTGGGCCCGGAGGCCCGTTTCGTAGGGACTGGCCACCGGGCGCGCGAAAGAAGCCTCCTGATTCGCTCCCCCAGACATAAACGTTGAACAAAAGCAATCGAATCTAAACGATTTACTCATTTACTCTTTTAGTTTGTAACGCTTTAATTATCCAGGTGGCCAAGAGAAGAATATTAATTACTTATTCTATTACGTACGAACAGTTCGAGTTGTACGCATTCTAAGCTGCACTTTCAAATGGAGGAAAGTCCTCTATTGTGCGATAGGATCCTATTATGAGACAGCGGAGTTTCTGCCAAATTAATAGGCATCATCCGTGGGTTCCGCCGTGAATTTATTGCCCTCGGAGTGAAATCTGTCTAGCGGAAAATTGATTGTTAGATTCGGGTAATCGTGGCGAAAAAAGATTTGCGATTGAACTCGGACGTTGCAAACCTGCTATCTCGCATCAGAATCCTATCTCATAATAGCGGACTTTCCTCTAGTGCTTATCGTAGAAGTACTCCGTATCCCCGAAGCGTATTATTAAGTCTATATAATTTGCACGCGCTGTTGGAGCTAGTTGACAAATTAATTTCATTTGCGCTTTAAAGGAAGTATCTTGTATCGCCGCATTGCCGTTAGTACTGCTATCAGTTTTTCTTTCCGATTCCTTTTTCTTTGTTCGGCGGCGTTCAATGGGAGACTGAAAAGACTGGTGGAGTCGAACTTTCACTGTCCACGCCGGACACGTTCAGCAGCGGATCAGTCTCCGGGTACCTGTTCATTTATCTCACGAGATTAGCCTCTATTAAAATACGAGAAACGATCTCCTTCCCGATCGAGGCACTTTGTCTCGGGAACGCTCGCGAGCAAGTTCGTGCGGATGAAAGCGGACGTGAACGGCTAGTTGGTCAAACTTAGAGTGGGTGGGCGCGGGTAGACGCGGTGAGGAGACAGGAGAGTTGAGAGCTAAATAGAGCCAAAGAGACGAGATGACGCGATTAGCACATATAGCGGCCGCAGGCCGTGGTGTAGTTTAGGGCCCCGGTCTCTCTTAGTTGGCGACGGTGTCTCTCGCGAGGAGGTTTCGCCCCGCCGTACCGGATCCAATATACTCGGCTAAGTCCGACTGGTCGGCTAAGATATTCTCACGTCCTCACGAAAAACGGTAAGTCCGCTTTTTGTCGCGATTCTTGTTAACCGGGCGGCTTTTACGAGTCGCGCCGCGGCTGTAAAATGGAACGAGGCGCCTTCGATTTCGCTAAATAACAACAAACCCTTGGGAGATATTACGCGCGGTTCCAAGTTACACTGCGGTTTTACGTAAAATTCCGTCCCCGTTATCGCATTTGAAACGTTTAAACGTTCAATTAGAGAATCCGCAGTTGAAAGTAAACGCTCTTGACCCCGCACGCACTCTATAAAGTAAAGGCATTTAAGATAATAGCATTAATGCTCTCATACCAAGGTATTGGAAATAATATCTATATTCTCGTAATGAAGGATCTTTTTTATCGTTCCGTCCTCCCGTTTGCCTTTCAATGGAAATACCAGTTCTAATAATTGTTTCGTACCTAACAAATTCAAAAGTTTTCAATATTGACAAAGCTGCTTCAAAATAATGCGACAGGATCATTCAATTTGCTCGGAAAGAATTTTAAAGCTAGACTTTTCCGATTTCCTGGTACGACATGCGGGATAAGAATAGCTCATTTCCAGGGTTGGGAAAGTTACTTTATAAAAGTAACTAGTTACAGTTACAGTTTTTTCGCTAACAATGTAACTAGTTACAGTTACAAGTTACCAATTCTGAAAAGTAACGCGTTACAGTTACAGTTACTCGAAAAGTAACGAATCGTTACTTTGCAGTTACTTCCTTGCAATACACTGAAAAAAATTTCTGGTTGAATATGGACGAATCAGATAATTCCTTTAGGATTTACCAGAATTTCTGTAGGATTACAAGAATTCTGGTAAGTCCTAAAGGAATTATCTGATTCGTCCATATTCAACCAGAAATTTTTTTCAGTGTATTGCAAGGAAGTAACTGCAAAGTAACTAATTTAATAGTTACATTAATAGTTACTTTATATATTTTTTTTCAACCTCCACAGATCGCATTAGGCCTTGCATTTGCGCATAAACGCCTTTATTGCCGAATTTCTGTAGGATTACAGGAATTCTGGTAAGTCCTAAAGGAATTATCTGATTCGTCCATATTCAACCAGAAATTTTTTTCAGTGTAGAAATAAAAATATCGAATCTGCATCTGAATTGTAAAGCGGCAATAAAGGCGTTTATGCGCAAATGCAAGGCCTAATGCGATCTGTGGAGGTTGAAAAAAAATATATAAAGTAACTATTAATGTAACTATTAAATTAGTTACTAGTTATCGAAAAAGTGTAACTGAGTTAAGTTACAGTTACAGATGTAGAGAAAGTAACGAAGTTAAGTTAGTTTCTGTACCTGCAACGTTTACTGTAACTGTAACTTCGTTACAAGTAACGAGTTACTTCCCAACCCTGCTCATTTCATTTAATAGCGATTTAGTGTTTCATAAAAGAGGAATTTATATTGTCTAAATGCGATTGTTTTGAAAATAATTTTTAAGAATGAAAATGTCCAGCCTCCCTCGCAGCTCTTTGATTATGCACGCTTAGGCTGGGGGATCCGACGTATGTATATAAACGTTTGAACAAGTTTATAAATACCTGCGCTTTTTTTTTTACCAGCGACGATGGCAAGCTCCTCAGAGGGAGACACCGTCAGGCCGACGAACACGAACAAATCAACGACGACTGGAGTCAGCATTCTCGCATCCACGGAGGGTGCGAGAAAACGACGACGATTAGAATCTCTGACAACGAACTCGGAGATCCCTAAGAAAACGCAGCGACGCGACGAGTCGTGCAACTCCTATGCGTAAGGATATTTATAGCGATTTTGCACGAGATAAATGTCCACAGTTAATCGGCGTATGGAAAAATGCATCAACGATGCGGCTAAACAAAGACATCTATTTAAATGAAGGGAAGAGTTTTGATTGTGCGAAAAAAAAACGCGAGTATTATCGCAGTTTCTTAATGGATCTTTGTCGTAAGAACACCCTTTGAATTAGAAAAAAATGTTTAGAGAAGATAAGACGTAAACGCTTTGACGAGATGAACTACTTGAGAGTGACTTGAATAATGACTGTAGAAATATTCACGATCTTCCCGATTCTCACCGTTGATTTTTGCGGTTTTTCATACATCCGGAAATGCTCGCGTATGCTACACGTATTAGAAACGAAATATTGGCCATTCTTGGCAGTTGTTACAATTATTGCTACAATAATCTGCTGTATTTGGATATATTTTATGATTCGCATCTAAAAAAAGGTACAAGCTTGGTTCGGTCAATCAGAAAATATTACATGAAATGAATTACGTGCTTTCTGTTGTATGGTGACATTTCTTGCTCTTCGCCCTCAGTGAAGCAACCAACGACAGAAGGGCTGAGCATACGGAAGATAAAAAGGACTCGTCATTGCCACGTCTGAGAAAGAAAGATCAGACTGTGCCAATAAGTCCGCAAGATGTTAGAATGTCACGGTCTTGCGAAGCAGGCGTGGGAAGATGTGATGCGACTAGATTGAGAAAAACGATACAATGGCTCGAGGAAGGAGCGCGAAGGCTACGCGAGGACCTGGCGAACGTGCGAACAGAGTTACACGAAGAGCGAAGGGCGGCAAAAATTGCCAAGAGGGAGTTCGAAGCTGCCCTTCGAGAGGCCCGATTTGCCGAGGCAGCCAAGTATCAACCGATCATAGCCGAGCTAAAGACTAGGTAAGGTGTATCCACAAGCCTGAAACTTCGGGTCCTAAGTCTACAATCGTTTACTTCTCACGACAGTTATTTCCCAAGTCCGAGGATCTCGGTGGACAATTCGTGAATTTGTAATTTCCGGAATTTGAATTCCGCAGATTGTCCAATTAACGCAATTCAAAGAGGTATTGAAGACGATATTTTCTTTCAGGATCGTCCAATCAGTGTCGCCATCGCCATCGCCGTCGCCACCGTTCAAATCGGATCCCGTGAAAGACGAGAGTCACAAGCATGAATTGTCAACCCTCAGAAAACGCTTAATTGAAGCTGAGGGCACAATACGAAAACTCGAACAATTGGTGAAATCGCAAGCAAACACTGCTCGCAATACCAATGGTACTTCTTCCTACGGCGATGCGCGCCGTCTGGAAGCGGAAATACGAAATCTACGCGGAGAAAACGAGAAACTCGAAGAAAAATTGCGTGTAAGAACGCTCATTAATTTTGTCAATACTTGGACAGTTTGAAATTTGTCGAACAAGTTTTTGTGAACTTTGGGGCGACTTTTAAACTTAAACTTAGAAATGGTTAACTATAATATTAAAGATATAAATCACTTTAGTAGTAAATATAGAAATATTAATTACGACATTGTCTATTTTAACAAAGTCGATGGTCATTTTTCTCTACTAAAAGTTTAATCGGATCTCTTTTAATATATAACTCTTAAGCAAATGTGTCTTTTTCGAGATACATCGTCATTGATTTATGTCCAAGGTATAATTTCATTCCTTCCATTTCTCGCTTATAAGAGATACTTTTATATTTAGATCGCTCTAAATGCCGAGAAAGCTCGCATCGCTGAGATACGAGCACAACGGGAGAATCACGAGGCTGAACTTTCCGCAATGCGAAAATCCCTTCGCAGCGAAGCTATAAAAATGGTAAGCGCATAGTTTAGATATCGGAAATATCAATAGCGCTGTCATTAGATAGCTTAATGGCTCTTAATAATTATACGGCTGTGGCGTTGCTCGAGGCTAGAATAGGGAGTCGTAATATCGCTCTGAGGGCGACTCACCGCTCAGGCACGTAAAAATATCCTCCTTCACGAATGCGAGAGCGCTAGCGTCAGCACGAGACTCCTCCAAGATGCTTATTAAAAAATTATGCCCTGCGGTATTGGCCCGCACTAACTAGGAAAGAGTCTGTCCAGGATGCAGCAGTCCGGCCCGTCGGCTCGTACGGACAAAAGTTTTACCGACACGGCGAACGGTTTGCCATAGCGTCGACGAAAAAGAATGCCCTCGCTATGCGATTACCCAAAATGGTCACGAGTTTCCCACGCTATTCATGGGCTCCGGAATTTCGATGTGATTCGACAATTTGCAAATTGCAAGGCAGACTGCACGTGCAGCAATGAAGTACGGGAAGGTTGCTCGCTCGCCTTCGCGAAACATTGCTTTAAATAACCAACGTTTACATTGAAACCTTTCGATGCTGATAATACGAGTGATAGTCACTCGACCGGTCGCTACAGAGGAAGCAGCAACTTTTATGGAAATTAATTTTGTAGTCCTTTTTCACTTCGTTATTTCAACTGCATCGAAATGAAGTAGAGTCCCCCTATTATGAGATAGTTCAAATTTAATCAGAAATCTTTTTTCACGACGATTACACGATCTAACAATCAATTTTCCGCTAAACGGATTTCAAGAGCAATACATTCACGGTGAAACCAATAGACGATGCTTGTTAACTTAACAGAAACCCCCGCTCATGTTAGGAACTTGTCTCATAACAGGCGACTTTCCTCTAGCAATAGAAACGTCTTTGAGCGGTCAAGCTGAATCTTGGTGCCTTTCAACATTTTTCTTTCGTGTAATCGTTTTCTCGACAACGCGGAGTGGGTTTCTCTTGAAAACGCCGTTCCAAGCTGGTCAAAGTACACGGTATACCTAATTAAATTGACAATCACTTCAATAACGATACCAATTAAGCGAGACGAAGAGTACTTTTGATAATAATTTCCTCCTGTTACGTGGAATTAAGATTTCATTTCTCTCGATGCTCTCCAAGTTACCAAGATCATTTTGTATCTAGCTTCATTCGCAAAACGAATCGTCAATTATATAATACACACGTAAACTCGCTTCAACGATTTATTCTGAGCCATGTCTAATTTCTGTCGCTACCGCGCGTCCAAGTCCGCATCGGACGCTATATTTAATTCTACGACGTTTGCTCGTATTCATCGGCTCGCAGCTTGGACAGGCACTTCCCGCTTCCTAGCATGCCACATTGCGGTCGAAAAACGTGCAGTGATGTTGCCTACCGCATTGCCGGCACGCGCGGACTAATGCGATCGCGACCCGATTCTTGGCGAACAGCCCGATATCGACGATAATAAAAAAGAGGGTCGGTCTGGCATGTGGAGCGACCCAAGAAAAATGAAGAATCACGAATCTCGCTTGTCGAGCGGAAGCCTAATGAAAATTAGCTCGTCCGCCAGATTTTGCGGAAGAATCTCACTGATTATTAATCCAACAATAAGTAATTATTGCGAGAGTAATACGCCTATAAAGTCGCGATAGAATCTTTCGGATTAAACAACGCTTATGCAACACGTAGCATGCGATGCTAGTGGAACGAAAGAGAATCGTTTTTTCGCGCATTTTCACGCTACGAATCGAACGAATTCGATTGTAGCTTCGAGAGACGAGACCCGGGCGTTCGTTTGCGCGTGCAGCCGTCACGTTCGGAACGTAATCCGATCACGGTAATCATTGATTTAAAACTTCCGGCCGCCGGATGATTCATCGTTCTCAGAAATCGTGCCTGGGTATCGCGCGCAACCGGAACTAAACGCACGCGCTTGTACGTGCGAGCGCCGTGAATGCTTAGGGATATCGGCGCGGCGGATAACGCGGCGGTTTCTCTCATCCCACACCTGTACAGACAAGGTGAAGGCAAAAAGGCCCCCGGGGCCCCTGACAAGCCTGACTGAGCCGCGGTGGGACCGAGGTGAGAGCTCGAAAGCGGTACGAAAGGGACCGATCGCGCTGCCCCTCCCCTTCGTCATCGCCGTGTATCCCATTCTTCGCCGCGATGTTAATTTTTCTCATTGCAACTTTCGCCACACGTGTCCACGCGCGAGAGATCCGCCGCATTCAAACGAGTTTTGCGAATTTTTGCAGATGGATGAGCTGCGTGGCAAGAGCCGAGAGATTGAGAAGCTGTCGAAGCTCTTGAAACGTCGAAAGTTGGCGCCGGCGGAGCAGGAGACGGTGAGTATCTTGCATTTACCGGTGTGTTTCCGCTTCCGCGAGAAAAGCCGCGGACCGATCGAAAACCAGGATCTAATTTTACATTAAATGCCCGGGAATAGCCGTGTATCAGGTAAGTCGTGCATGCAACACCATGTTTGTTGAAGACAATCTTTCTTACGCGCTAAAGCAAATTGTGACAAATATACATTATATGTCTAATAGCGAATTCGGTTGCTTGCACCAGTGCGCACTGAGTGCACACTGCACACTAAGGCCCGGTATTCATAGTCCGTTCTTATATTTAAGATCATCGTAAGTATACTCTTAATGTGTTTTTAACCAATCACAGAGCCGTATTAGCCTCTTAAGACAACACTTGAGATGATATTGAAATAAGAAATCGACTATGAATATCGGCCTAAGACTTGTTTATATAGTCAGTTCTTATATTTAACTTTGTCTTATATACACGTTCAAAGAGTATTTAGTCAAAACATGATCAGTGCAAATGTTGTACAGACCATTTTTCTGGATAAGAAATATTGCAAGAGGTATTTAAGATGATCTTTAAATAAAAGAACTGACTGGAAACAAGGCTTAGTGTGCACTCAGTGCGCACTAGTGCAACCAACCGAATTCGCTGTAAGTTTTCAACAAAACATCGATAAGTGTCGTGGAAAATTTATCTTAAGCCGACCTAATCATCTAAAGTTGACGATTCACCGAAGACGAATAACAAGACTTTGCGTATATAAATTTGCATCGCTAAACTTCAGTCAGTCTTTTATTATTTAATCCAATACTACTAACATCATCTCGCAATATTTTTTTTTAGAAAATACTTCAATTTTAGACAAGAAACATCGCCATTAGTATATTTACTAATGATTGTGCGTGCGTGTTAAAATATTTAAACCTTTTGGAAGATATAAGAAACAAAATTATATGGTCATATTATTATTTTACGATACTTAGGTCCGGTTTCACCAAACGTCGCTTAACTTTAATCTTAGTTTAATTCATGCTTGTCTCTTTCTAAGGTAACAGTTGGAAAGAGACAAAGAACGAATTAAGCTAAGCTTTAAGTTAAGCAACGTTGGTGGAACCGGACGTTAGCAATCGATATAACTAAAAAATGTTTAACTTTCTAAATAGTTTCTACCGGCATTAACAAATTAATATTTAAAAATCATTTTTATGAGAAAAGAGAAACGTGATTATCAGATCTTGAAAGTTTCTACGACTTACAAATATTCAATGTCGAGATATCTAAATTACGTAAGAAATATTACCCGTTTTGCAGTCGTACTCATAAAGGTTATTTTCTAACAAGCCCTTCGTTTCCAATCATTTACGATTATTACGATAGTTTCATAAAAGTCGATCCCAATTTAATCGCAGAAATAAAACATGAACATACCATATGTTACATCCATTTACTCGCACGTATTTGTTGAACAATTCCATTGTTCGAGGCTAAGGAATAGTTAATTAAAATGTTTTCCGATTTGAATGTCATCGCTTTGGATATTGATCTGGCAGCATTTAATGAAGTTACATAAGAAATACATCTACGAGCTGTTCAGTTAATCGTCTGTCGCGAGTGGAATGTATCTCAATAGTCGCTTTGTTTCCTTCTCGGCAGGTATCTCGATCTGAATTCCTCCTTATTTCATTCGTTCTCAGATACGTGCGACGGCAAAGAACCGTCGTGTGAACAAGCCAACGGTTCACCCAGAGGACCGTACCGGTGCACGCGATTATCATATCGTGTGACTTCCGATGTAAGTTTATATATACAGCATCAAGTTCTTAGAAGCCCCCCGGGCGTGGACACTCGGCTCGTTCAGAGCTGGAATCAGCGAGTTATACCCGATCTCTTAAAAACGCCATCTGTCCTGACAGCAGTACTTATGCTAAAGACAATTTTTAGAGAGCGCTCTTCTCTCAAACCGGAAGTACTCGTGTCCTATCGCTTCTTTTTCCCTGGCCAGTGCGTTTCATTGAATCAGAGAACTAAAAGAAGTCGTTAGTCACCAGAATTACGTCACTGTCGAGCGCAAAACTATAGGTAGCTCGTCGATGCGTGGCTAATGAACCACTATGCGACGCGATACCGAAGGTGTGCTCAAGATGATGCCGCGCCGTTTAAGGCGCGTCTTAGATATTTGGACGTGCTCCAAGAGATGCGCTGACGACGTTGGTCGCTACCTTTTCGACAACGGTCTTTACTTTCGTCGAAGCGTTTAACGATTCAACGAAGCCATTTACGAGTCGCTGAATCCGATGGATATTTTGTATCTTGATGGTACGCTTTTAGCCGAAGGTACTCGGATTATCGTGATACCGCCGGGTCAACGTACCGGGTCACGTCGCAAGACGAACCCGCGCGGCCGCCGCATTGTGCATTATACGCGTCTTCGTCATCTTAAAGGAACTTAAAGGCCATGCGAGCGAGCGGCCGCCGCTAAAAGGTTGTAGTTATGCGCCGCACAATATAATTGACACCCTTTCCCGTCTTATCGCCGCTTAATCGAGCTAGCTAACGGTAGCGCGGGATCTACGGCAAAAGCGGTAAAAGCGATAAAAGAGACGCTTCTTTTCTTCGGCAACGGTTTCACGAACTCCAATCTAAAAAGGAGAAATGAAAACGGCAAAGAAACGTTCCTCGCCTCGAGACTTTTCAATTTCCAATCTCAATCATGCGTCGAATGCACTCTCCTTTCCAGGAGAAACGATATGTCGCAGTCCGGCAACCCTTATTGCAGAAATTCGCTTAGAAACGTCGCTTCTTTCGGTATCGAGAAATACAATGGGGAAGCTTCTGCTGGCGATCAACAGTCTATCCCTTTCCTTCTTATTCTAAACGGTGTTCCGTTAATCGGCCGCTAAATTAGCGGATTTGTCAAAATCGCGCACCGGTTTCCGACGCGAAGATAACACGCCGGAGGATATGCGAGCGCATTGTCTCGCGTCACACCCTTTGACGGAGGAAGGGGGACTGGGAGGAGCAGGAGGGGGGCCGGGGGGGGGGGGGGGGGAGCAGTTATGATCCTAATCTTGCGTTTCATTGTGTCTCGGGCTTAAGTTCCTGCCGGGTCAGCAAACCGTAGATACGCCCGTAACTTTCCGAATGGAATGGCAGAGAGGAACGGGTCCGCTCGCAACACTCCGCGCGCACAGCACAGGTAGCGTAGAAGGCCCCCGCGATTATCGGAGGTGCCTCGCTTCAGTCTGGTCTAGACGTCGGCCGTGCGCGCACCGTTCCTCCGGCACGTGGGCCGCAGCACCACTTCCCCCGCGTGCGTGCTCCCCCCCGGGTGTGACATACACGAGCGGAGGACCACGCAGGATCTCCGTGTACCGTTTGACAGGTATACCGGCGTATACCCGACGTATCCCGGATACTCCCCTTTTCACGCCCGTTATATGAATTCGCAACATCGACGTGCGCTTCATGGGGTTCGCGTGGAACGAGGTAAGGATCACAGTCCGCGCGCGTCCCCCCTCGCCTCCTCCGTCCGCGCTGTTATCGCCCGTCGCGGTATCGGTCGCGGACGTAAATTTTATTACAATGTAAAGTGTCCCCCGGGCGGAAAGGGGGAAGGGAATTGGCAATTTAATTGTAACTTTGATTTTGTGGTTCAAAGGGTCGCCGGGGAGCAACGGAGAGAAATTGGCAATTGTAACTTTTGACCTTCTCGCCGATGCAGCTACTATATAGTAGCTTTCACCTGTGCGTTTATCACACACGAGAAATCATTAGAGTGAACATTTTCACTGCATACATGTATAATGACATTGCAATGATTCATCGTTAAGGCATGTTACGAAAGAGCATCGTTAGGAACATCGTTAGGGAAAAGAAACTTTCAGCGATTCCTCTTTTATCGGTTTTTCAGCAAATTGTTGATTCACAAATATTTCAGTAAATTGTTCATTTCGCAAAATGCCTTGATTGACGATGAGATAAAAGTTATACATTTCAATTCTACACATGAGAACAGTTTTCTTGGGATATAATTACATCGTAACGATGATAATGCTTTCCACTCGGTTTCGTCGTCACGAAAGTTGATCGCGGAATGAGATATTACAAAATACTTAGCAATGATAATAAGACGGTGCAATGCACGATTATATTATTTTTATTCTCTTTCGCTTGCTGTGAATAATATTGATTTATTAAAAATCGCCAAATTTTTACCCGACAACATTTACAAGGTCTACACGGAGAGATTTTTCTTCTACAATTTATCCTGAAAATATTGTGGGACAACACGGCATTTCGAAGAATTTTATGAAAGTTTTTGGAAATTTTACCATACATTTCACTAGTAATTATACTTAGTATACATTTTACTGGTACAATGTACGGTAAACTTTCGAAAGACTCTCATAAAGTTGCTCAAAATGCCATGCGGTCCCACGATTGCACGATTTTCGGGATAAATTTTAAGAGAAAATCCTCTCCGTGTAGGAAAGAGATTTGTAAATAAAGCACTGAGAAGCTATTACAAAATACTTAGCAATGACAATAAGACGATGCAATGCACGATTATATTATTTCTATTCTCTTTCGCTTACTGTGAATAATATTCATTTATTAAAAATCGCCAAATTTTTACCCGACAAAATTTACAAGGTCTACGCTGAGAGAATTTTCTTTCGCAATTTATCCTGAAAATAATGTGGGACCACACGGCATTTCGAAGAACTTTAAGTTTTTTAAATTTTACCAGTACAACGTATGGTAAACTTTCAAAAAGACTCTCATAAAGTAGTTCAAACTACTATGTTGTCCGACGATTGTACGATTTTCAGGGTAAATTTTAAGAGAAAATTCTTTCCGTGTAGGAAAAAGATTTATAAATAAAGCACTGAGAAGGTCTTGCTCAATGAAAATAACGAGCTTAATTCTTCTAGAAATAATAAAAAGTAACAGTAAGATTCTACTATAACCGCGCAGTTCGAGACTCAGAAATATTGCGAATAATATTGGCATCGCTCGCGGGATT